TCTCGGTGCCCTTGGTTTGGTACCTCCTGATCTCTTGGCGCAGATCAGGAGAGTGCCCGGGTTCTCCACCGGGAGCACAGCCCTTCTGACACTCTGGGTAATGCAGAAGGCTGCAGTGTTAGGGAGCCTTCATATTCTCCGAAAAGTTCTTGTAGGGTTCGACTAGGCAGTGTTTCCTGGGAGAAGTCCCATTCGCTGTCTGGGCTGCGTGTAGAGGGGGCGAGGGCCCTGAGCTGATGATGAGCCTTACCAGCCTGACTATGCCAGGATCACCCCAACCCTTTCTGCTGCATACTATCTTTAATCTGTAAAACATAATAATAATGAGTTCATGTATATGGCGCCAACTCCATACACTATGTGTATGCTCATAGCGCTACAAATATACTACAATATTAACTGTCAGTGGGACATAAACACAAGGCAGTAGATTTTATGCAAAGTAATGCATTAAAGTGTTGAACCACTACCAATTATCACTGAGCTAGGTATGTTTGTGAGCTAGGTACGTTTGTGAGCTAGGTATGTTGTGAGCTAGGTATGTTTGTGAGCTAGGTATGTTTGTGAGCTAGGTATGTTGTGAGCTAGGTATGTTGTGAGCTAGGTATGTTGTGAGCTAGGTATGTTTGTGAGCTAGGTATGTTTGTGAGCTAGGTATGTTTGTGAGCTAGGTATGTTTGTGAGCTAGGTATGTTTGTGAGCTAGGTATGTTTGATTGTTTACTTGATGTTAACGCCACATTCAGCATCATTCTAGCTATGTGGCGTCGGTCTGTATGTAACCTGTACAGTATGTATGTAACCTGTACAGTATGTATGTAACCTGTACAGTATGTATGTAACCTGTACAGTATGTACGTAACCTGTACAGTATGTATGTAACCTGTACAGTATGTATGTAACCTGTACAGTATGTATGTAACCTGTACAGTATGTATGTTTGATTGTTTACTTGATGTTTAACGCCACATTCAGCATCATTCTAGCTATGTGGCGTCGGTCTGTATGTAACCTGTACAGTATGTATGTAACCTGTACAGTATGTATGTAACCTGAACAGTATGTATGTAACCTGTACAGTATGTACGTAACCTGTACAGTATGTATGTAACCTGTACAGTATGTATGTAACCTGTACAGTATGAACAGTATGTATGTAACCTGTACAGTATGTATGTAACCTGAACAGTATGTATGTAACCTGTACAGTATGTATGTAACCTGTACAGTATGTATGTAACCTGAACAGTATGTACGTAACCTGTACAGTATGTATGTAACCTGAACAGTATGTATGTAACCTGTACAGTATGTATGTAACCTGTACAGTATGTACGTAACCTGTACAGTATGTATGTAACCTGAACAGTATGTATGTAACCTGTACAGTATGTATGTAACCTGAACAGTATGTATGTAACCTGAACAGTATGTATGTAACCTGTACAGTATGTATGTAACCTGTACAGTATGTATGTAACCTGAACAGTAATAATAATAATAATAATAATAATAATAGGCCATTTATATAGCGCCTTTCCACGTCACAGGGATATGCTCAAAGCGCTTCCTATGTATGTAACCTGAACAGTATGTATGTAACCTGAACTGTATGTATGTAACCTGTACAGTATGTATGTAACCTGAACAGTATGTATGTAACCTGAACAGTATGTATGTAACCTGTACAGTATGTATGTAACCTGTACAGTATGTATGTACAAACATTTGTCAAGTGAGTATACTAACCTCCAGTATTCGGTAATGTTTCAGTGAAGAGTAGATATTTTTACATTTCCACTAATTATTTGACAAAGCATATCACCGGGAAAAGGTAACTATATTTCATGTAAAGTTCCAAAAAAAAAAATGTTTTCTGAAATCAAATACTGTATCTTTCGATACATCCATTAAGACGAATGGTCGGGATAATGCATGCTGCGCACCATTTTGGATGTTTGTGTGTTTGTTGTCAACAAGAGACTCCCTGTGTTTTCATGTGGACAGCACACACTGCTTGATTAGCTACCAGGTGCTCATAAAACACCCATAATTTGTTTAACCGCATAAATTATGCTTAAGAAACTCCACGGCTTGCTGAAAATCATCATCTGCACGTCGCGGGTAAGCTGCTGACGGCAATGGCCCCAGACGGTGTTGCCATATATTTTAACCCAAAATGATCTCGTTGAAGACGTTATCTTCGGCAAGGCGACACTCACTGGGAATGTGGACCACAGCTTTTCATTGGTAGTGACAATATCAAAGATGAACACTGTCGGGACCACTTTGTTTGTTCGAAGTCATTTTTACACTAACTGCAAATCCTGGAATGAAACTTCACGGTGCATCTGTAGAATACCTGCGCGTGATGCAAAAGACCTTATTAGGCAGTATATCATTGCTGCACTGCAATGGCCGGTCTCTCTCCAGGCCTGTTCCTATGGAACATGTCTGGGATGAGATGGACCGACAAGAATAGAACCGGAGGGTAACGCTAGATCACTTGGGCCAACCTTTGGTTGACGTTTAGAACAACATTCCATAGACTGTTTTAAATCATCTGGGGTCTTCAGTACACTGCCACTGCCTCACCTGTGTCAACACAAATGATGGTCACATGGCGTCAGTTGTTACACAGCATTGTTTGGAGGTATGAAAATATATTGTTTTGTTTTCAATAACATTTACACCAATATATATTCCATACAAAACCCAAAACTGTGAAGAGCGTTTAACTTAGCCTTCTTCGTTTAGCTGGATTCAGAGCCAGGATAGGTCACCAGAACTTCATGCTTGTACCTGTAGTCAGTCTGGGGTTTGGTGGATTGCTTCACTGTGCTAATTGGTTGATTGCGTCATCGTGCTAGATGGGTGATTTCTTCATCGTACTAGATGAGTCAATTGCTTCATTGCGGTTGATGAGTTGATTGCTTCATCATGTTTGATGGGTTGATTACTTCATTGTGTCCAATAGCTTGATTGCTTCATATTGCTTAATAGTGCTAGATGGATTGATTGCTTCATCGTGCTCAATGGGTTGATAGCTTCATCATTCTAGATGGGTTGATTGTTTTGCCATGCTAGATGGGGTTGATTGCTTCATTATGCTAGATGGGTCAATTGCTTCATTGCATTTGATGGGTTGATTGCTTCATTGTGCTTGATGGGTTGATTGCTTCATCATGCTCTGGGGGTTGATTGCTTCATCATGTTCTGAGGGTTGATTGCTTCATCGTGCTCAATGGGTTGATTGTTTCACCATTCTAGATGAATTGATTGCTTCATTATGCTCTGGGGGTTGATTGCTTCATCATGCTCTGAGGGTTGATTGCTTCATCATGCTCAATGGGTTGATTGTTTCACCATTCTAGATGAATTGATTGCTTCATTATGCTCAATGGGTTGACTGCTTCATCGTGCTCAGTGGGTTGACTGCTTCATCATTCTAGATGGGTTGATTGTTTCGCCATTCTAGATGAACTGATTGCTTCATTATGCTAGATGGGTCAATTGCTTCATTGCATTTGATGGGTTGATTGCTTCATTGTGCTTGATAGGTTGATTGCTTCATCATGCTCTGAGGGTTCAGTGCTTCATTGTGCTCAATGGGTTGACTGCTTCATCATTCTAGATGGGTTGATTGTTTCACCATTCTAGATGAATTGATTGCTTCATTATGCTCTGGGGGTTGATTGCTTCATCATGCTCTGGGGGTTGATTGCTTCATCATGCTCTGAGGGTTGATTGCTTCATCATGCTCTGAGGGTTGACTGCTTCATCATTCTAGATGAATTGATTGCTTCATTATGTTCAATAGGGTGATTGCTTCACTTTGCCTAATATGTTCATTGCTTCATCATGCTAAATGGGTTGATTGCTTTGAATCTAAAGGTCCATTCATTTACAAGGAAGCACAACATTAATTAATGTTACTTATGAAATGTCATCGAAAGTTATTGTGAGAACATGATATTACTCTACTACTAAGTGGAGAATCAACCCAGTGCCTTCTGTGTGTTGAACGCTCTAACCACTAGGCTACTACGCCCCCCCCTCCAGTGGTATAGGTTTCATGGATTGCTGAAACATGTTTTGGCCTTTGGACTTTTAATCTCCAGTAATGTAATGTTGAACTTTGTCATTTTACAATACAAGATTTGAAAACCATAAAAACCACACTGTTTAGGAAGCAAAGTTCAGTGTTAGACACGGCTTCCCCCTCTCCATTACCTACTGTGAAACTGTTGACACAGAGCAAATCAGATTTCACAATTGTTCTGTGAATGTTAAGTACACCGCATTTTACCTCAACTTGTTTTAAACCTACAACAGAATGGAAAACCATTGTTTTGGCAGAATGATACAATGATTGAAGATGTTAGTTATTTAAATGCCACAACAAGTTGCTCACACCACACTAAAGCAAGTAGAAACTCACAAACTATTGAAATGTTCTCTTAATTAGGAATTACATGTAACTCAGAAAGTGGAAGACAAAATGTCCTTCAATACAAAGAATAATGTTTCTCAAAATAACTTAAAGCAACACATATGAATTATCATAATTCTTTTATTATTAACAACTGTATATCTAAACTAATACACATAGTCTTAATACTCAAATTTGGAAGGTACAAAAAAGTAGATATAACGTCGACAAATCACCAATACACATAAATAAATAAATTATCATATCAAGGGCACATGTCTATATTCAGTACACAAATAGCACTCCTAGTATGACCTAACAAATATACCTACACCAATTTCCCCTGTAGTAGTTTGTCATCCATGATAAAAAAATTTGGCACATGAAAACCGCCAGCTGCTTATGTGTGAGGGTAGGAACCAGATACAGGAGTCTGAACCGGTGGGGACAAGGGGGAATCTGAAACCCCTGAAACTATCATTGTACTGATTCCTCATCACCATAACATTCATCATAATGAGCAACTTTCTGTAACATGCTGGACAGAGAAGACAGAAGAATGTCTGAAATGTACAGTTTAAACAAGGATGATCTCCCTTGTGATGGCGGAGACAAAATGAGTGAGTTAGGTTCGCTTTAAGGCTCTACTTTGTACCTCTGTGGGGAATCAAGCTCCTGACTTTCACAAGACAGTGAATTTAGTCACTATGCTACTTGACGACCACTACATTTTGAGTGAGTGAGTGAGTTAGTTAGGTTCAATTCGCTTTAAGGCTCTACTTTGTACCTCTGTGGGGAATCAAGCTCCCACTACTTTTGGTGAGTGAGACAGTGAATTTACTCACTATGCTACTTGGCATTTTGACCACTACTTTTTGACCACTACATTTTGAGTGAGTGATTGAGTGAGTGAGTGAGTGAGTTAGGTTCGCTTTAAGGCTCTACTTTGTACCTCTGTGGGGAATCAAGCTCCTGACTTTCGCAAGACAGTGAATTTACTCACTATGCTACTTGACGACCACTACATTTTGAGTGAGTGAGTGAGTGAGTTTCTATGATGGGGAGCCTCAGTTTCACATCATGTGTTCTTGAAACAATCAGAAATACATCCGTAACTTCGCTATCAGTTAAGATTGCTGAGTGCCGCGTTAAACAACAAACAAAACAAACAAAACTATCAGCTAAACATGAAAATAAACACCATTATAAAATAATAAACACAAATTTTCAGATAGGGAGGTCTCATTCTATCAAACTGAATGCATGAATAACCGACAAGTCATGCACATATTGAACAAACAGGGAAGGTCCACTAATTGCTTTACAGGAAAACATTGACTCACTGGGCTTAAAGATGTAGGTCACACAAATAAACTTTATCCCTGGTGTTGCATTGTATTTAACTGTAAATACAGAACACTGACTTGCAGCATATCTGAGCAGTTGAAACACTAACATCATGATCATCTGCACTTTCATTATTTTTGTAATGAACAATCTTGTTGAAAGTGAACAAAGAGAATGAGCAATAATTTAAAGAATAAATATATTCTCAACAAGGTGAATTGCTTTTGAACTGGAACATTAATTAGTCCATCTGGCATCCATTTGTTCATTTCTTATCACCGATCAGGGCTAATTTAACTGTTGGATTCCCTTGATACAGTTTCCTACGTGGTGCCCTAAAGCACAATACTATTGCAGCGGTGGACTGACTCTGAGTTTGGTTTTACGCTGCTTTTAGCAATATTCCAGCAACATCACGGAAGGGGACACCAGTAATGGGCTTCACACATTGTACCCATGTGGGATTCGAACCCGGGTCTATGGCGTGACGAGCCAACGCTTTGCAGCGGTGGAGCCCCTGTTACCTAAACTGTGGGTAATAGAAGTGATGCCATATATAAACCTGTTGGGAGCACAGGACAACACTTTCCATTAATGCATTTAAAACCAAACCCAACAATAAAAAAATAGACACAGATATATCAAATTTGTTTTCAGTTAACCTACCCATGAATCTTTGAGAAATGGAAAAATATAATTCAAGAAATAAAATCAAACGACTTTCTGACAACCAAAACAGAAGAAATATCAAGTTACATAACAGTATTTTTATCATTCTTTCTAGCACCCCAAGCTAACTGGTGAACACAAAATATGGGACCCAACAAAGGAGAGTAATTCATGACCAACAAAAAACCACTAAAATGCATAGAGAACTGAATCTGCACAATTGTATACCACAACTGACTGGTCAGCACAGAGGCCATATCATTGGTATATGGTCAGCAGTGTGTAACCATAGCGACGATACACTTGGGTCACCTGGACAAAGAATATAAATATTCCCCAGCATACATAAACTTGTGACATGCTGCATGTTGTATATAAATAGTGCAACAGTACATTTGTTTCATGTTTACAACTGTACCATGTGATGGAGCTTGTGACCTGAGAGCTACACACTGGACTGTGTCATATCAGCCACAGGCTCTATTAGTGACATTCCAGCAAACAGTTTTGAACTTTGAACCTCTGTGGTGAGTGAGTGAGTGAGTGAGTGAGTGAGTGAGTGAGTGAGTGAGTGAGTGAGTGAGTGAGTGAGTGAGTGAGTGAGTGAGTGAGTGAGTGAGTGAGTGAGTGAGTGAGTGAGTGAGTGAGTGAGTGGTGAGGAGTGAGTGAGTGAGTGAGTGAGTGAGTGAGTGAGTGAGTGAGGAGTGAGTGAGTGAGTGAGTGAGTGAGTGAGTGAGTGAGTGAGTGAGTGAGTGAGTGAGTGAGTGAGTGAGTGAGAGTGAGTGAGTGAGTGAGTGAGTGAGTGAGTGAGTGAGTGAGTGAGGTTTAACACTGCTTTAAGTATTGTTTCATGAAAATCACAGTGGGGGAACAAGAAAGTGGATTCACATCATGTTCCCATGAGGGGAATTGTTTTACATTACAATAGTTGTAGAAACTAATAAATTAGTACACTCATTTATTACTTGACACTAAATCAATAAGACATAATGAGGAACAATGTATGTGTTTGTGTGTGGTGATGGTGGTGGGTTGCGAGGAAGCTTATTTAATTGTAAGTAGATTGCCTACCATGATAACACGTTGATTTGTAACAATAGATATTATTACTTCGGTCGGATGATCCATGAGTATATTTTCACTATAGAAATATAGAAATAATTCATTAATAAAAAATAGGGAACAGTTGGATTGCATGACATTTCATGACTTAAAAATATATTTTAATCAGGATCATTGCCAAATTGACAGAAAACATGTTTGATGAAATTGATATGAAATAAACACATCTAATAATATCAACATGATTAATTTTTAAACAATCAATTGGAGCTTTGCACCATTGTGTGAGAGAGAATAGTGTAACTTTTTAGAATATTGTCATTAATTTGTACAATCATCGTATCTACTGATATGACAAAGATAACATAGAGGGTCATGATCAAACCAGCAGTGACATACACAGTGGAACAATGCTAACCTAAAGCCCTGGGTGCCGTTGTACAAAGCGATCTTAGGCTAAGGTGACCGTAACTCCCATACCTTAACATAGACTTAAGGTAGTCTTAGAACTAAGGTTGTTTTGTACAACTGGGCCCCATTCCACAGAGAGATCTTAGTGCTAAGGTGACCGTAACTCCCCTACCTTAACATAGACTTAAGGTAGTCTTAGAACTAAGGTTGTTTTGTACAACTGGGCCCCATTCCACAGAGAGATCTTAGTGCTAAGGTGGCTGTAACTCCCATACCTTAACATAGACTTAAGGAAGTCTTAGAACTAAGGTTGTTTTGTACAATGGCACACTGGACCCCATTCCACAGAGAGATCTTAGTGCTAAGGTGGATGTAACTCTCATACTTAACACTGGGTTAAGATAACTGTAGCGCCAGGATCTCTTGCAGAATGAGGCCCTTGGTCACCTGTTTCACAAAGCAAACATAATGATATGGCTGCCATAACTAACATTGTTTAGACTTGTGTCGCAGTTCTATGATTGCTGTGTAAAAAGAAACCTTGGAGCTAGGCTAGGCTAAATTCTCACCATCCATATCCTGTTACATGTCTTCCCACACTCCAATATCTGGTATAATCTTGAAACAGAGAACCTTCCACTGAAGGGTATTAATTTAGCCATGATCCTTTCTGCAGTGATTATGACTGTAAGCTATGTACAGGACACAGTGAAAGTCTGACTATCACAAGACTCCAGGAATTGGCAGTTTGTACCGTAAGCAACATAAGCTACAATCACTAGATTTGATATGGGTTTGCCAGAAAGAGACATATCGAAAATATTATGACACCCTAACAAGTGTAAAGTTCTACAAGATAAATACTATGATAGTGTGCCGGTGCCAAAATGCATCCTAGTTCGAGTTGTATAGTAAAATATACAATAATGTTATTCATAACATATCATAGATATGGGGCATATTGAAATAATGAACAAAAATATATATGGGATATTGACACAACATGGTATGTGTGGGTCTAGTTAATGAACTACTTGTACCAGAGTAGAACTGGGTATTCTTGTCACGTTGAAAGAGTTAGGGTTGAAGGTGGGTTTGGAATGAGGTTGATGGCGGGGTTCAAGCAAGTCAATTATTCTTGTTGATTGTGCCAATGTGGCAAAAATAGGATGGCAAGGAATATTATGACCAACGTTTAGGCTCTTACTGTTTCTCATCTCCTTCAGGTTAAGTTAAATTGATGTTCCCAAAACATTTGCCCAGCTGTCTATTATCATCCTGCTCTGAGGAGACAACAATGTTTTCCGTATTGACACCGACCTGCTTTCTTATTTTCTCACGGTTGAAGGAGGAAGTATTAAAAAAAAGTGGGTGGGGGATTGGGGTGGGGGGATAAGGGAGGAGTAGGAGGCGGAGAAAGGCTGTTATGGTGTAATTAAATTGTTTTTACTCTGAACATGAAATACACTGTCCAAACCCAATTAATGGGATGCTTTCTATAATTCAACATCTTGATAGACTCTACAAAATTCAACGCTACAAATACATTCTTTTGAAGTTGCAGCAAGGACAGACTTTTACAACACGCAAAAACCTATAACATCACAAAGGAGCCAAATTGATTCAACTTGATTAAAACAATTAAAGGCACTAAGGGATCACAATGGCACTGATCTCTAATAAACTCATTAAGTCCATGACCTTTCAACAGCAACATTTGGAAACCATAGCAACCATCAGAAGCAAAACCAGGGGAACGGTTAGTCATTAGTTGTTGCCACAGTAACACATTGCTATTGATAAGCACTTACTAAGCATGCAAAATGTAACTAAATGCCAGTAGGTTTAGGTATGAAGACCTCAAATAACATGTCTCGTAAGTGTGAGTCAGAGAACAAAATATCAAATACATGTATACAACATTCTAAATTGCATCAATGTGCATATTTGGTTAGATATGTGCAAACTTCCCAGATAATGAAAATACACAATGTCATTTAGAAAGTGGTCAAATATAACCCATTATATTTGGGATTACAATTTCTCAGAAAAGTACAGATTCTAGTACTTTCGTTGGATTGAGTCCCATTAGGGATAATATTCCCACAATTTAAGTTTGCTTTACTGAGTAATGTGGAACCAGTTCTTACATCCACTGCCATGTCTATAGGTAAGACCGACTTGTAACAAACAAAGCATTGTTTAGCAGGTTCAGGACTCTACGCCACACTGTCACCCTAGTGTCATTAGCAGAGAGCAGTTATTCAGTCTTTCATTCTATCAATTGCCTAAAAAGAATTATATTGTCAAATTAACTGCAGACTATTTTGAGTAAGATTCTTGTAAGGTTTTGCCTTTAAGCACAGTGATTAAATTTGAATAATACATTACCAAATTTCATTTCTAGAACTAATAACGAAGCCCAGGGATTAGAGATGTTACATCTGTGCATCCCCTGAAAAATGGGCAAAAACCTCTTGCTAGATCACAAACTCTCGTCACATGTTTTAAGTATGGTGAGAAGTGAGTTACAGTTGACGTTCTGCGTCTCATCTGACAACGGCTTGATACTAACACAAACAACATTATGGATACATTCTAGATAATGACCTTACAATGATCCAGGTCAGATCTAGATCCTGGAAACCATCAAACGGTTATTGTACCTCGTCAACATGCCATCAACTTGAATACATACAACATATTTGTAGTCATTTGTGTCAGTGGTTCTAACAGATCACAGGGCTTTGTTTATACTGGCAAGCATGGTTTATCACAACAAAGGGACAACTCTACATTTTCAAGAGTAAGGCTTATTGCATCATGAAAATGTCTTTATAGTGAGGCCAGACATATTTTTAAACTTTAGTTTAAGAATCTGTCAATTTGAAATGAAATGTGAAAAAATAATATTAATAACTGAAAAGGTGTGCTTTCTTATTCTGCCAACAAGATATGAATAACATGTTTTAACAAATTATTCAGCATACTTTGATTAAAACTTGTTGAAAATATATCCTAAAATGTTCAAAACACAACTAATTTTGAGCATGCTGACGAATCATGTGAGATTAATCTGCCTTTAGTTTTTCCTCTACCTTCTTAACATTTACAGGTAATAAAAATTACGGTAATATTTACAATTGGAGTTCTTATTTTTTACCTTCCATCCTAAAAATCTGCAGAGACCATGAAAATAATGTCTGGCCTCATAACATATAATAAAAATTGAAGACTGTATACAGCACTGGAAACTGTCATGAAGTGTATTGCCCTAGTGGACAAGTGGTGAGTTGTCTTGCCCTGAACAACATACATGTATAACAGGTATTGTCATAGATATATCAACATAATTAAATACAAACTGTCATGCAGGTTTCACAAGCACTAACAGTGTGTTGTGAGTCATGGATGACCAAGTGGGATTCTTTTCATAATCAGGACAAAATTCGAGCGATGATGTGACTGCACTATCCATTTGAAAATACAACTAGTCTTCAGGTAGATATGTTAGATTACCAGAAAGAATTTCTTATGCTGTAATGCAGTTCAATTGATGTCTTACAATGATATCAGGAAGCACATGATGTAGCACTAAGCACATATACAGTAGACAGTGTTGTTGGCTCTTCAACTGCTTGTAGCAACATTCCACAATATCACATTCACAATGGTTTTAAACACATGTGACGATGGCCATGATGATCACAACCAATTTTTATTGTGACATTTCTCTTATTTCACAAGCAACATTTGTTTGATATTTGAAAGTCTTTTCACTATCAGAATATTGCAAACTCCACACCACATCAAATGGTTGTGCCATTATTGATTGACAACACTGAAATTGGAAATTTTAATATAAATTGTATATTTATATACTAATCCTATCTCACGACTTATACCTCTCTCTCTTGCTTCGACTTTTGTATCTTTAACAGTTCAATCGAGACTTGAAAGTGGGTTTCTTTATCAACTTTATTAGATACTTCTTGGATGCTACCATTGAAGAGGGAGTCAGTAAACCAAGGCTGGCGAAACAGTTCTGTTTTAAATCGCTCCTCCCATGAAGAGATGTTAAGGGGTCCACGTCGGCGAACAGCAAGAGTGTAGCCCAAAAAATGAGACAACTGATCCAGGATAATTTGGAACTGGTCCAGAGCTAAAGTCATGCATCCTCGGATGTAAGCGTCTTGATCAGAGTAAGTATGCTCCAGAGCAGTGTTAACAGCGTCGACTGCTGCAACCACATAACTAATAGATGGCAACGCCTTTCTCACGGCTGAATCCATGTGAGCCAACTCTCGGTCCTCAATAAGGTAGGGCGAAGCAGCTCGTTTACCACACAGGGTTCCAATATCCTCATCAACTGTTGGAGCCGTAGAGATTTTTGTTAGGCCGTGGACATGAGAGGTAGAAGGATTATATCTGGGAGCAGAGAATCCGTCCTTAATTTGTTTCAGGCTCTTGAAGACATCATTTAGTGTACTGGATAATTTCAGAATACAAGGTCGAGGTGGTAGGGTGATGGTAGACCAATCCTGGTTCCTAAGAGTATAAGAGTGATCCAGGTCATCTGCTGAAGTACTCAAGGGAAGTTGGAGCTTCTCAACAATCCAAAGGAGTACCTGAGGTGTCTCAACTGCTGCAAAGCTACCCCCAGGGGTAAATAACTCAGAGTGAGCGGGAGATACAGGGAGATGCAGGCATGGCTATTTGGACTGGATCAATCTCAGTAGGTGGACCAGATGAAGAGCCAGGGGCTACCGAAGCCCGGATGGGCTGGAGTAGACGGCTGTATTTGGTTCCAGGCTGAGGTTATGGCCCTGATCATCATATTTAGATCCGGAGTCGCTGTAGGAGTGGGATTGTTATCAGGTTTCCATGACTCAGCGATGATCCTAGAGTGAGTCGAAGGATTCTCAGAGCGTGTAGACGGAACATCATAAGAGACTGTAGGCCTATTAGTGGTATCAGAGCAATGATCAACCGAACGTCGGTCAGAGGAACTGTATCGAGATCTCGACGTGGTAAGTACTGAAGTAGGTTGGTAAGCCGGTGATCTGGATTCCCTAGTATGGCTAGGTGATCCGGTATGATATGAAGAACTAGTCCGGGTCGCTGTAGTTCTAGTTGGTGATCTGGTTCTGATTGGAGCTCTGGTTTGGCCATCTGAATAGGATCGGCCATGAGATGTGGATCTGTACTGTGATCCCGATTGGTCAGGTGTAAGGTGATCTAGATTGTATAGGTGACCTGGATTGGTAAGATGATCTGGATTTGTAAAGTGATCTAGATAACTACCCTCTGAACAGGTTTTCTGAGCAGTTGGTCGAGCACAGATATGAGGAGAGTAACTCAGATTCACCTCAGCCCTTGTATCTGCAGCCAACATTTATTCACTATGTTTACTATGGTAGTTACCCCATCTCTAGTTCGTTAGGCTATAGTGACAGAAACTAAAGGGAGACAACCTAACCAAATATTTAATGCTAATCCTGGTTGTCTCCCCTTACCTGAAAGTTACACCATCTCATCACAGGGTTACAACATAAATAATGAATGGAACCCAGGGTCCTTCAAGTTTCTACTTTACAATTTAGCCTAAGGACACCCTTTATCTTCAGTTTGAACCCTGGGTTATGAAAAGGACCTGACTTTTTCCTCACTTTCGAACACTTTAGTGGTCTTATCTATTTAACATCATAGTGGAGCTTTGATAAATAGGAAAACGGAAATGCTGGCTATCTGGAAGCTCTTCACGGCATCATCACGATGAAGCTCCTGAGGTATCGGTTCTATCATCTGGGTTCTTGTCTCGGTTTGAGCGTGGTCTGTCCTTGTAGGCATTTGGCGGCAAGTTGTACAGCTCATTATCGACAGTAGCTCCGTGCAACACAAACTTCCTGTAGCCTTCTAGAAGCTCCTTACAGCTTTGTTCATCATGCAGGGTGTTGACAGGAAACTTTTCTTTAACTCGCTTACGTTCCTGGTGAAGAAGAAAAAAAATAATTAAATACTATTTTATCCCATCATTGTTTTTTGTTTGTTTGTTGGCACATTCAGCAGTCTTCCAGCTACATGACGATTGTCTGTAAATAATCAAGTCTGGACCTCAGAATCCAGTGATTGACAGCATGAGCATCAATCTACTGGGACATGAAGACATGTGTCAAACAAGTCAGCAAGCCTGACCACCAGATAACGTTAGTGGCCTCTTACGACAAGCTGGAAGCTGAAGGCCAATTCTAACCCGGACCTTGACGAGGCCTATCATTGCAGTAGTAATAGGCAGTAATAGACATCGGAAAGATAACATTCTTTGTTCTTGTATCATTATTAAATTCATTCATCTTTTAAAACATTCATTTGATTTTTTATGATAACATTGACTTACGGAAACGGGAAAACAGCTAAGAGATGTGCCTAAAAAAAGATCACCGTTAATTTCACCAGCTAGTCTGTCTAAGTCTATTTTAGAATTTCTGGTCTCATCAAATTATGCTAGTGAGCAAATGCTCTTCAGCACACTGTCATTACATAGTTAACTTTGAGTTACTTGCATACAAATGTGCATGGGAAATGTTAATAACAGAATAACAACCCTCTAGGAAATTAACCAGTGTATTCAGTACAAGTTGTATACCTTTATCTCTTTCCAGATCTTTATTACTGATATAAAGTAACATCAGACACATATATCAGCTCTATTGCAGTGAATAATGTATAAATGATCACTAGGTCTCATTCATTGATAACTGGACATATACATTGATGTTGTGAGTTTACTTGACATGTCGAACAGTTTGTGCAGCACAAACAGATGCAACTAGTCGCTGCTAATCACTGCTTAATGAAAAATGTTTGCTATATGGTGTGAAAATACAAAAAGTACCAAACTTTGAAAGTAAACACTCAGTGTTTCAAAACCACTACCTAGAGGCCTGATTCCCCCTCCCCACATTATTTCATTACCATGGTAACCTTAAGACAGTGGGCCCCATGCCTCTCATAGGCCAAGGAAAACAAGTGAAAACCTGATCATGCACTAGCAGTAACTACACACATCTTGTAAGCCATCCACTTCAAACATCTGCAGTTGATGCTGGAAACCAAAGTTGGGTCTGGCTACATTACGGGCTCCTCGCACAGCATTCAAGGCATCCTTCCAGCCTAGTTTTGTCACGGTCATGATGTAGGCTGAAGTGACTGTCACAGCGAGAAATACCTGCCAAGCTGAAAAATAGAGATCAATTTGTTTTGGCTACTGCTTGTAGGATATTGAAAACATTTAAAGTGAGGACGAGCATGAGTAACCCAAGTAAAGGTATATTTTGGTATATTTTGTGCCCAACATGAGTGAGTGAGTGAGCATGGTTTTACGCCGCTTTTAGCAATATTCCAGCAATATCACGGCGGGGGACACCAGAAATGGGCTTCACACATTGTACCCATGTGGGGAATCGAACCCGGGTCTTCAGCGTGACGAGCAAACACTTTAACCACTAGGCTACCCCACCGGCCCAATGCCCAACATGAGAATTCCATAGGCGTTCTATAGGAATCAAGATATCCTTCAGTTTGTCTCCATCACTGGCTTCAGGGGATTCAGAGCAGGTCGACAGCCTCCATACTTGTCCCCAACAACCAGTAGGAAAACAGACCTGAAGACTGTCACTTATGTGGATAGGATAGGTTGCTAGGCCTCAAATTTGTCAGGATTCAGGCGAAATATAGATCTAAGGAGCATTATCTTGTCCTGACATGAAGATTGGGGAGAGACAGTGAGTGTGGTGAGTGAGTGAGTTTTACACCACTCAGCAATGTTCCAGCAATAACACAGACGGGTACACCAGGAAGGGACTTCACACACTGTGCCCCTGTGGCCTTTCGACACATTGTGCTACCCTGTGGCCTTCGACATGATGAGTGGATGCTTTAATCATTGGGCTACCCGTCCACCTAAGTATTTCCATTTGGGGAAAGGATAGCTTGACAGTAAACTTCCTTTTTCATTACATAGGACCTGGAAACTTTTTATGGGTACAATGTGCAGTGTATATTATGTTAACAGCTTAGTTTGTCTAGTCCAAATATACATGATGCTCTTACCAGTGAACCAGCACACTACCACCACTCAGTCTGGCACTGTGTATGAAGTCTATGCACTGAGGGAAGAACTGAGTGAGATTCTGCTCTGAATTATCACTGGCCAAGATACACAGATATTCCCTGTCCTGAAAAGGAACAAAACAAGCTGTTAAATATCAACCATAGGCAATCACCTTATCATCGGGTCGGCATCTTCCAATTGTGTCACGTTTGTGCATATCTCATTGTACATACAGTAGCATGGTAAACAATGTGGACAGGGCTACAACCCTTGATGGTATGGTTGTATGAAGACTTGAATGAACAAACAAGTGACATGCAAAACTGGATTCTGTCCAGAAAATAAACATGGTCAACAATAACAAGGACAATGGATGGGCTAATGGCAAACTACAGACATTAAGGAATAAAGAGGTTGAAACCCAAGCACAAGCTCTCAATCTTTATCATGGTCACAGAAGTAAATACATATCTATTGTATATGTCATTTGAAAATAGTAAACATCAACACTTTATTCAAAATTAGCAGCAACATATTCCTGTTATACATGCTTAACTGACCATGCTGACTTTGTTTTGTGCCAAACAAAACATTTCACAAAATGAGCATCACAAAATATTCATATAATGATATATTTACTACAAGCTAATCATGTTGAAAAAAACATGTCCATTTTTGGCAAAGATAACGACACTTGGAGGAAGTGACGGTGCCTATAATGCCTGTTTACTTATCACCTGAATTACTTCTGTTCTATCAGGTAAGGCAAGTAACCATGGTAATATTATCTTAAGCAGTGCTTTAGCTGTATCATGTAAGGCAAGTAAACATGGTAAAATTACCTTAAAGATCACATATACCCTAGGGGTACAAATACATAAATCACTAACTGGCAGCGTTATAAATGAAACCCCGTCATTAAAACTACTCATTTCGACCTTTAATTGACTTAAATCGACCTTTTGGACAACAGTGCACAATTCTCTACCGCTTGACGAAATTTCAACCAATCAGAGCGCTGTAGCTCTGTGACGTCATATGAGGAATAGCTTTGAGGGCCGATGCAGAATTCATCTACATTTTAGGGGGTAAATTATCTTGTTTACAGGCTTGTATAAACCTGAAATCGTGACAATTGTTGTGGAAAATGAAAGCTATATGTTCTCACAATCTACTGTCATTTAATTTTGTCTCCTGTTTTGCCTAGTTTCCGAGTTACAACCTGTTTTCATAGACGATTCTGTCAAAATCGCTTGGTGTCGTTAGGCCCTATTTGTATAATGACTGATCCAAATTGATCCCATATCTGTGTTTTTTACCTCGATATTTAATCATGTCATGTAAAAATCTGTTTGTATTCTCAAAACAGTGTCGGCCCATAAGTTTTCACATGCAATACAGCAATTAATACTCCCTTGTTGTAACCCGTGTTAGGTGGTATAAACCTACACATGTTATTTGTCATCATTCACTTGATGGTCAGTTAATGAATTTATAACAGGTATAATTAGTGGTAACACACTTAGATTACCGACAAAGGTTTCCATTTGGCATTTCTTGTGTCTGGAGTAAATATTCAACATTATAAACATTGATCAAAGGATTAACCGATAAAACGCTGATTGATTAATTACTTTTATCTTACACAGCCGGAATTGTCAAAGGGTAGTGTTTATGTATGTAGATTTACTAATCTATACTGAATACACTCTGTGTCGTAATCGGTGTCTCTGCGTAAAAACAACGTCCTTCTTTCAAAGGATTAACCGGGCAATACATTGATTGATTGCCCATTATTGGCTAACTAAATTACTGTTCTTAAAGAAAGGCGGGCATTATGCAATTAGTTGCCAGGTGTGCTATCTTGGGTGACCAATGAGACTATACACCAATACCTGAAAAGATTTATCACTTTTCGTATATTAAACTGTTAAAAGACACATCATTTGGAACAATTTTGTGGATATTGATGGATACATTCCTCGAACAAGGTAATGGCCTGATATTGTTCCTATAACTTTAATCTGTTTTAATTTCAATATTTGCATTTTGTTTTATTCATTTGTCGTAGCATTCAACAGAATCATTGTTTTCAAGCCATGAAGTGTAATGAGACAGACAACATACACTAGGGTGTGTGTCGCGAATTATGATTCACATTGGCAAACTATAAAATGTCTAGATATTATAGTTCTGTTATAAATTCACTATAAGAAGTATCAGCAGATCGTCTGCTTTTTATTTAGTTTCAAAATGCATACAAGTATGACAATAAACTAATTAGGATTATAAGACCAAATATAAAGACGCATATTGACTAGTATCTACATACTGGTGAGTGGACATTAACCATGTGAATGTAGCAAGAAATTTATTAGCAGTATTGTGACTTCACCCCCACCTCGTTTCCGTGGAAGAAATCGTTAATGTTATAAATTGTGTCATGCAAAATCCGTTTGGTTATGATTCCAATACATATTTAACTATGAGTAGAAAGTAGTTTTGATTTTCTAACTTGATGAAAACAAACTATAATCTCATTAATTCTAACAGACTTTACGATTTTCAGAAATGAAGCCCTGTCGGGAACATCCACCAGTCTGAGGATAAATGCTATTTAGGTTTGTTTTCACCGAGAGTTACAAAATCAAAACTACTTTCTACTGGTAGTAAAATATGTATTTTATTGATGGCCAATAGAATTTGGCATGACATAGCATATAACATAACAATTTCTCTCCTGGCGGCGAGGTGGGTGTCAATATAATACTACTTACAATATTATTGTTACTTGACCACAACCTCACTTCCGAGGAAGAAATCGTTACGTTACATGTTGTGTCATGGAAAATCTTTATGGTCATCAATCATATACATATTTTACTACAACTAGTAAGTAGTTTTGATTCTTTACTGACTGAGTTTAGTTTTACGCTTTTTAGCAATATTCCAGCAACATCACGGCGGGGGACACCAGAAATGTTTGATTCTTTAACTTCCGTGAAGCTGATATGAACACAAGTAAGATATCGTTTCAGGCTTCCACAACGCTAAACCGCACTCACAAACATAACCCATTTAGCACGAACTGCGGGGTCCTGTGGAAATCTGTGCATGGGGACACCATCGCCCGACCCTAGGAGCAATTGGCGACAAAGCAGCGATTCGGCATGTAAAGTCGTTGATGTCGAAAATCATCAAAATGATGAGCGTGCTACACACTTTCTATACAACTAACTGAAAATCATTCCTCATATGGCGTCACTGCAGTGCTCTGGCGACAGAGTTACGTAACCTGTCTGTGGTTTTAGTTGGTGAGAGGGAAGCAGGCTGACTTTTGGCCACTTTTAATCGCCGGTATTAATTAACCACAAGTTTTTAAAGAATAAATTTGGTGTTCCGTGATAAGACTAACCACAAATCTTTCATATGTAATGGTTAAAAGAGTAACAAAAACAAAGTTTATTATTTCTTTAAGCAGTGCTTTAGCTGTATCATGGATGGCAAGTAAACATGGTAATATTACCTTAAGCAGTGCTTTAGCTGTATCATGGATGGCAAGTAAACATGGTAATATTACCTTAAGCAGTGCTTTAGCTGTATCATGGATGGCAAGGATGTGTGTAATGTTGTTAGCATTCAGCTGTTCAACATCTTTTGAATCATGAAAGTTGCCAACATACAGGCCAGGTAGGATCTGAAAGAAATACGTACACCATATGAGTAAACAAAACCTACTTGATCACTTTGATAACCTCATGCTATAGGTTAATCAGGTGAAAACTATACATGCTATAGGCCAAATTATAATGTGACTCAACATGCTTTAGTATCATGACATGTATTGATACCTGAAATAGGCATAATTGTCACCTGTATATTCAGAATTACATTATATGAGCTTCAGAAGACAAACACAATTAACAGGACCAACATTGTGATCCATTTTGATTTTGAGTTCATGTAATACGTATTTAACATGTAATGCGTATTCAAGTTAATACAACATGTTCAAAGGCTACTTTTGAGAAAGTTTTTTGTTTTTGTTTTGAGAAAGAGTAAAAGGTATGTATACCTAGTACTGGTATTGGCATACAACCTGTGATGCGATACATCACAATACTACAATTTTAGTCACGATGATATTTTGCCAAAGTATTGTGCACTAAAGCTCACGATCACGATCACTTAATCCGACATAAGGGTGGCGATACGATCATCATCCGACAATAATTCTAACACCAACTATAAAACACCTTAAGATAAAACAAATGTTCAAATGAAAGAAACTTTAAGTTGGAAAAAAAAGTCACATTAGGCACTTTTTTTTAAAAACAAATACAAAATAAATAAAACAATACTGTTATAAACAGAAAAATAGATAAAAAACATCTTTAATATCTGCATGTTGCTGGATGCAGATTTGCAATTCGGCAATATTCAAAGTTAAACATTGATTATCATGGTCCATTTGAAGAATATTATCGGGATATACGAAAAAGTAAAACTTTGTATCGATTAACTGTATTGGTAGGTCCGTGGATCGATGCATCGATGCGTATCGATGAATCGTCACACCACTATGTATACCTTTTTCCTATATTTGAAATTAAGCATGATTAGTGGTAAAAACATTATGATATCATTGTTATGTTTAGGATATTGCATGATATTATGAATATGCTGGTTTGCAAACCACTAGTCCCAAAACTCTGTCTGGTAAAGAAGTGTTCATATGGTCAAGTAAGATTAGATGGTACTAATCTATGTACTAACATAAAAATTGAAACCATGTATAATAAAAAACTTGGTAAACGCAATAGCCTGTAGGCTGCTGTGTTTGATAATATGACCAAACTTGGGGTTATTTCACCAGTTTGGTGCTGATAAACATGAAAAAACACTACACTTTAAAAATAGCTAAAAATTAACCATGAACATCCACTAGCTCGAATAGTAATAAAATATAGCAATTGTTTGGAATTCTACTAGCCTTTGGGATACCTTTAACATTAACAACTAAACAAGACTGGTCAGGTAGAGCCACTGATAACTGCTAATTTACATCCCTGTTCATAAATATGTACAAGTATTAATCAACATAAGCCAGTAATCTCTTCATGCATTAAACGTGGTAAAAAGATTATTATCCTCTACTGAGCTTTCGCAGTTTTCATGCAAACGCTTACAAAGCACAACGCGTCCAAATTTACCTTGTTCATTCCGTTTCCCATGTCTGCTTTTGTCAATGTCGTTTGCACAGTACCGTGAGTACGTCTTGATTGCTCTCTTTTCGTGCGCTATGAAAACCGTGGCATCATCTTAAGACCCACTTGAGATATTACAGGAAAGTCTTCACTTGACAAACTTGGGATCAACTGTTCGGACAGGCTTAGGGCATTGCAAGAGAACTTCGAAATTACTTTTGCATATGTAAACAATACCTTTTTGATAAAACGGAAGTTGACATACAGGTTTGTGGTTGTTGCAATCTAATCCGTCTGCACAGTCAATTTAAGTCCAAATATTAAACTTGTACTTAATTGCTCACTGATTATGCACATTTAAATATGTATTTATGATTAAAATGGTTAATGTTACAGTCTATTCCTAATGCGTATGTCGTAAAATTTCTCGACTAGTTTCCGGCATAAACAAATGCAAGCATGTGGCAACGAGAAGCTATCGTGTTTGCACAGGAGCTTCACGGAAAACTGGAATGACATATAGCAAACGTTGAACTAGCTTTTACCTAGCGGAATGCTCTGTGACCGCTAAATACATACACGTTATCAATTACTTAAGACTGATTGCTAGTAGTTGAAGAAAGCGAAAACCCAAATCAAAACAGAAGTCGATAAGATTAAGAGATTCACTCAGCATCAGGATCTGTCTGCTCTTTGACAGCAAGAGATGAGTGCATCATGACGTCACACTGAAACAGACAAGATATCCATTCTCTGTTTGAATGCACAAAATTGCGAATCACTTCAATACCGGATAAAACAATGAACTCCAAACCTGGAACTTCAAAGGTAAATGTTTTGTTGTTTTCATTTTTTAAAAACAAATCAGACATTGTTAATAAGTATGAAACTATGTATTATGGCAGGGATGGGTTACCCAAGTACCTGGGTCAGGTAAATTATTTTCATAAGCTGGGTCCTGAATAAACTACTGTACCTCGAAACGTTTCGTCACATGACTGGTCACATATATGTAACTTATGTTCTGATACATTGCGTACATTTACAGAAACGAAATAATGAACTAAATTTAGTGTAATTGTTTGTTTTCCAGTCATAGATATGAACAGGACAAAATCACTCCTTGTATAGAAGGCTTTCTGTTGCATTGACAATTTTTGTTGTATTTAAGCAGTTGTGTGTCTCTCCCACTGAATTAAAGTTATTTAAGATTGGGTATATAAATAATTCAAAATGCAGCTTCTGCCAAGACGAAATTGAGACACTCGATCACGTTTTCTGTTCAACCATATCTGGCAAGTGTATGTTTGTTTTCCAGTCATAGATATGAACAGGACAAAATCACTCCTTGTATAGAAAGCTTTCTGTTGCATTGACAATTTTTGTTGTATTTAAGCAGTTGTGTGTCTCTCCCACTGAATTAAAGTTATTTAAGATTGGGTATATAAATAATTCAAAATGCAGCTTCTGCCAAGACGAAATTGAGACACTCGATCACGTTTTCTGGTCTTGCAGTAAAGTCAACCATATCTGGCAAAAACTTGAAATCTCAGGCTAAATCATAAAGCTCTTGTCAATATCAAAATATCAAGAAAACAGGTATTGCACGGTTTCCCAGACTAAAAACAATGACCCTCTCAATATTATTATTATTATCTTTAAAAACCTAATTTTTGGAAGCAGATTAAAAAACATTGTGCCACCTTTCCATGTTTTTCAGAATGAAATTAGACATTATTATATGATAACAATTAAAGTGCTCTTCTTTAATGGAGTGTAATATCAGCCCCTTTTATAAGTTTTGGTCTTCATGTCATGAACTGTTCACATAATTTGTACATCATATGCTTGTTGTAATGTAACCTGACTGTAAAACATCTCTAAAAACAATAAAATTATTTTTAAAAAAATAAAATATTTTCATAAGATGGGTCCTAAATAAACTACTGTACCCGACATCGCTTCGGCCACATGACTGGTCACATATATGTAACTTATGTTCTGATACATTGCGACTACATTTACAGAAACGAAATAATGAACTAAATTTAGTGTATGTTTGTTTTCCAGTCATAGATATGAGCAGGACAAAATCACTCCTTGTATAGAAGGCTTTCTGTTGCATTGACAAGTTTTGTTGTATTTAAGAAGTTGTGTGTCTCTCCCACTGAATCAAAGCCTATCATAGTTTCAGTAATTCATCCATGAACATCCAAAGCTCCACACTATCCAGTTTAGTCTATAATGTTTTTGTGATACCTTTTAAAGGGTAGAGTATAACTTATAAGTTCTTGATTTTCTGAGTTGAGTTTGGAACAAACTTCAACCAATTGCCACTTTTTAAAGTTTCAGTCACCTTTACTGTCCTGTAACTCAGGGAATTTAAAGTCTGATACTGTAATGGGTACTTGCACATCTGGTTGGGTAATGCCGTCTTGGGTTGCAAAATTTCATGCAGACGCAGATAACTACCCCGGATGCACGGTATTTTTGTGTGTCTATTCTGACGCAGTATTTTTGGATTTCTGTGTCCATTCCCCAAATTTGTGTGTACTGGACACACAGTTGTTGGATCCTAACAGCTTATCGCCTTACAGCAAGGCATCTTGTGAACGATGTGACCCTAACAGCTTATCACGGGCAGCAGTCATTGGTGTTTGCTAGACATCACCAGTGATGGCTGTGTGTAATTGCTGTTTATTGGTGTGGTTGTGTCATGGTGTGGGCGACATCACACATGACAGGCAAACTGATTTGGTTTTAAATGTTAGTGGTGAGCAATAAAGGACAAAATTTTATGTCCTGTCATTGTTACATTCGCAATAAAGATTGTTAGAAATTTTGAACTGCAGGGTGACAATGCAGGACTATAACATGCCCACTTTGTCTCTGATTATCTGTGATGAGAAAGCCGACAGGTATTTGAATGGGCATAAAGTCCCTTCACTTGTCCCCACTAGAATCTGTTGGACAGTTTTGAGCATTGATGAGTTAAGAGAGTGTACACCGGGTGAGAGACATAGCGCCTGCCAATATGGGGCATTTCTTCCAGTGGAATGGCAGGAAATACCATGTGCAACCATACACAAGTTAGTCAACAGATTGCAATCAAGAGTGGGGCCAGTCATACATCAGTGTAGAAATTTACCTAATACATCAACATTTGAAGTCAATGATATCATCTACATTTATATGCTTTTCTCAACTAACATGCAGGGTCATTTGAATTTCTTTTCACAGAAATTGTTACAGGGGAAAATAATGCATTTGTGAATCAACAATTATATATGGTCAGCTGAGTTTTGTTATGACTGACACCCTAGTTATCAACATATCTTGTTCTAACCTATAAATGCAATAGTTATGATTACTTGAAGCATACAATCCACAGTATGTGTTTGTTCATTTCCATTCCACAGATCACAGGTCAGAGCAGATATCCTAGACCGAGGGCTGTCATAACGTAAGTGTAATTTAATTAGACGCAAAATCAGATTTAATATCATATAGTCTCTTTCATATGGGATTTCATTATTTATTGATGTCCCTCGAGACATCATGCTTTGAACCTAATGGAAAATTCATACTGTCATTTGGCTATCAATGAAATAATCAGACTAATACATATACACAGGATCCACTCGTATACACAACCCAGTGCAATACAATAGGTTGTCATACTGCACAACCCAGTGCAATACAATAGGTTGTCATACATCACAACCCAGTGCAATACAATAGGTTGTCATGCAGCACAACCCAGTGCAATACAATAGGTTGTCATGCAGCACAATCCAGTGCAATACAATAGGTTGTCATACAGCATTCACAACCCAGTGCAATACAATAGGTTGTCATACAGCACAACCCAGTGCAATACAATAAGTTGTCATACATCATAACCCAGTGCAATACAATAAGTTGTCATACATCATAACCCAGTGCAATACAATAAGTTGTCATACACCACAACCTTCTGCAATACAATAAGTTGTCATGCTGCACAACCCAGTGCAATACAATAAGTTGTCATACAGCACAACCCAGTGCAATACAATAGTTGTCATACAGCACAACCCAGTGCAATACAATATGTTGTGATACAGCACAATACAATAAGGTTGTCATACTGCAATATAAATTAATTGTTGTCATACAGCACAATGCAGTGCAATACAATAGGCTTGTCATACAGGACAATGCAGTGCAATACAATGGGTTGTCATACAGCACAACCCAGTGCAATATAATTAATCATGTCATACAGCAATACAATGCAGTGCAATACAATGGGTTGTCATACAGCACAATGCAACCAGTGCAATACAATAGGTTGTCATCATACAGCTCAACCCAGTGCAATATAATTAATTGTCATACAGCACAATGCAGTGCAATACAATGGGTTGTCATACAGCACAATGCTGTGCAATACAATGGGTTGTCATACAGCACAATCCAGTGCAATACAATGGGTTGTCATACAGCACAATGCAGTGCAATACAATGGGTTGTCATACAGTGCAATACAATAGGCTGTCATACAGCACAACCCAGTGCAATACAATAGGTTGTCATACAGCTCAACCCAGTGCAATACAATAAGTTGTCATACAGCACAACCCAGTGCAATACAATAAGTTGTCATACAGCACAAGCCCATGCAATATAATAGGTTGTCATATAGCACAAGCCAGTGCAATACAATAGGCTGTCATACAGCACAATGCAGTGCAATACAATGGGTTGTCATACAGTGCAATACAATATAGGTTGTCATACATCACAACCCAGTGCAATACAATAGGTTGTCATACAGAACAACACAGTGCAATAATACAATATGTTGTCTTACAGCATTTGAGAACAGAAGGGATGTACAATGGGTTGTCATGCAGCATTTTGAGATGACATGATAACATATGTTCCAGATTAATGCAAATGATTTATGCAGCAATTTCTTTTAGTTGGATGAGTTATATATGGTATTTGTTTTTCAGTTTCACAAATAGAACATCTAAATGTACATGGGTGGTGGGGTAGCCTTGTGGTTAAAGTGTTCATTCCTCACACCAAAACTCTGGGTTCTATTCCCCACATGGGTACAATGTGTGAAGCCCATCTCTGGTGTCCCGTATGATATTGCTGGAATATTGCCAAAAGGGCATAAAACCATATTCAGTCAGTCACAAGGGCTAAATACACAAATGTTTAGTATGCTCCAAGACTGGGATGAATACATCATCTTGTACTGTTCCCCCACATCCTCAACAATTCATACCCGTGAAGGTCCGGGTTAGAATACTGATCTTCAGTAACCCATGCTTGTCGTAAGAGGCGACTAACGGGATCGGGTGGTCAGGCTCGCTGACTTGGTTGACACATGTCATTGGTTCCCAATTACGCAGATCGATGCTCATGCTGTTGATCATTGGATTGTCTGGTCCAGACTCGATTATTTACAGACTGCTGCCATAAAGCTGGAATATTGCTGAGTGCGGCGTAAAACTAAACTCACTCACTCACTCAAAACAAATCACAGGGAAGGGTGACACAATAATCATGTACATGAAACATATCCTGAAGTATAAAAAAACATTATTATTTGAACATGAAGACAAAAGATATTAGAAATGCCTGAAAACAATTTGCTACTGAAATAATGCATATTTGAAATTTTACATCTCACATCAAAACAGCAGCTACAGAGGGGAATATTATGGATTTACGTAAATCCTGGTGTTTCAGGGACCGAGAAATCCGCTACAGGTGCTCCTTGCAGAACACAATCAGCGAGGTATTACGGGATCGACCAGGCTGGCAGGAGGTTATTGGGTATGTATAACACACTAATTCAGTCTTGTCCTCCTCTAAATGATGTTTTGTCTGGTCCAGACTCGATTATTTACAGACCGCCACCATATAGCTGGAATATTGCAGAGTGCAGCGTAAAACTAAACTCACTCACTCACTCTAAATGATGTTTGCGTATTCTTTGGACTGTTATGAGTTTGCCTTGACCCCATCTCCCCTATCCATCACCTTCTCCCTTGTATCCCCCTTCTAGAGGGGCNTGGAACCTATACTTGTATTGTAGGGAGGGTCACTGGGACTTCAGTTGGAGTGATTGTGATTACTTGTACTGTACAATAGTTGTACTATAGCAGAGCTACAGATGGGTCATTGAGTTATGTACTCGTGTGTGTTCATCTCAATTGGGTATCCTAATTTTCCTTTAAGTAACCAAATAAATTGTGCCCACCTCACTCAAACTCAGTTGGGTATTTTGCCATTTTCCATTAATTGTAAAAATATAATAAAGTTTAAATGTTGGTTTACATGTTTGTTATTTATATTTGATCTAAAAACGATAAGAAGGACTGCAAGTTCCATATGCTGAAATAGAACCTCTCAATATATCTCAGTTATTTTAGCTATCCTCAGTAACCTCCATCTGGTGCACATGGGTCTGCTTCCTCCCAGTAGGATTTGCGAATGTTAAAAACAACTTAAACATGATACATTCTGCATTCAGTTTAATACAAACTTGTGTGTACGCATTTTCAAACATCAAATTTTTGAGCATTTTCACAAAATATTTGCAACGCGTGTATACTGCCTATAGGCAGGGACAAGTGGGACTAGGAAGTGTGAGTTTACACATTCAATATTCTGCAGAGTGACTGTGATTACTTGCACTATTGGGTACCTTCTGCTATGGTGGGAGTACTTCAGGGAGGGCAGTGGGACTTCTGCAGTGACTGTGATTACTTGTACTTCAGGGAGGGCAGGGGACTTCTGCAGTGTGACTGTGACTGGGACTTCTACTGGTGTGATCGGGAATGGCTACATCAGAACTATGACACCACCTTCCTCCACGAGCATCAGAGAATCCTGCACTTCAGAAATCACTATGAGGTGAGTGAGATAACAAGGGAATGTTGTGTTACATGGTCCGAGTTACATGTTACATGAGTTGTAAAGGTACATGAGTAAAGGTACATGATATTCATGATTACAGGTGACATCAAAATCTCATGATGTGATGGCGAACAGTAAGGGACTGTTCATAATTTATGACTAAGAGGGGGTGATGATGATTTTAAGGGGGGATCACCCATTTTGTTCTGGGGAGGTAGGGGGGTCATCAATTTTGAACACGTTTCTAGAGGGGTCAGCAATTTTGTACATAAAAATATTTAAAATTATGCTTTAAAAATATGGAAAGGGGAGGGGGGGTCATTGACTTTGTACATGACATGCAGGGGGGTCACTTACTTTGTACATAAATTTTAGGGGGGGTCATTCACATTGTACATGCTTCTCCATAAAAATCATCATCATCCCCCCTAGCCATAAATTATGAATGGTCACTAATCTGTTTACCATGTTTGAGCCTGAATTGATTACTTACTAGATTTTCAAGAAAGTGTTCAAGGCCTGTGTAAAAGAAAACTGATGACTGGTGTGATTCACAAGTCTATTTCTAACACTGACATAGTTTATGAATGGCAAGTTGCAGTTAGCAACATGGTCAGTTTCAACAGTGCCAACTTCGTTCCAGCCTCCTGCTGATTGCCATGTCTAACTTTGTGTTAATTATTTCTTCAGTTGTTATCATCTGTAGGTATTTGAGGACAATAAAATGATGCAAGGTGTTTGATGAGGTCACAAGAGGGGATGCTAGTCTAATAATACCTTGTGGCATTACAGTGACAGTTTAGTCTACAGTGACAGTTTAGTCTATAGTGACTGTTTAGTCTATAGTGGCAGTTTAGTCTACAGTGACAGTTTAGTCTATAGTGGCAGTTTAGTCTATAGTGACTGTTTAGTCTATAGTGGCAGTTTAGTCTACAGTGACAGTTTAGTCTACAGTGACAGTTTAGTCTACAGTGACAGTTTGGTCTACAGTGACAGTTTAGTCTACAGTGACAGTTTAGTCTATAGTGACTGTTTAGTCTATAGTGACTGTTTAGTCTATAGTGGCAGTTTAGTCTACAGTGACAGTTTAGTCTACAGTGACAGTTTAGTCTACAGTGACAGTTTAGTCTACAGTGACAGTTTAGTCTACAGTGACAGTTTAGTCTATAGTGACAGTTTAGTCTACAGTGGCAGTTTAGTCTACAGTGACAGTTTAGTCTATAGTGGCAGTTTAGTCTACAGTGACAGTTTAGTCTACAGTGACAGTTTGGTCTACAGTGACAGTTTAGTCTGCAGTGGCAGTTTAGTCTATAGTGACTGTTTAGTCTATAGTGGCAGTTTAGTCTACAGTGACAGTTTAGTCTATAGTGGCAGTTTAGTCTACAGTGACAGTTTAGTCTATAGTGGCAGTTTAGTCTACAGTGACAGTTTAGTCTATAGTGACTGTTTAGTCTACAGTGACTGTTTAGTCTACAGTGACAGTTTAGTCTGCAGTGGCAGTTTAGTCTACAGTGACAGTTTAGTCTATAGTGGCAGTTTAGTCTACAGTGACAGTTTAGTCTACAGTGACAGTTTAGTCTACAGTGACTGTTTAGTCTATAGTGGCAGTTTAGTCTACAGTGACAGTTTAGTCTACAGTGACAGTTTAGTCTACAGTGACAGTTTAATCTACAGTGACAGTTTAGTCTACAGTGACAGTTTAGTCTACAGTGACAGTTTAGTCTACAGTGACAGTTTGGTCTACAGTGACTGTTTAGTCTACAGTGACAGTTTAGTCTACAGTGACACTTTGGTCTACAGTGACTGTTTAGTCTATAGTGGCAGTTTAGTCTACAGTGACAGTTTAGTCTACAGTGACAGTTTAGTCTTCAGTGGCAGTTTAGTCTACAGTGACAGTTTAGTCTACAGTGACACTTTGGTCTACAGTGAATGTTTAGTCTATAGTGGCAGTTTAGTCTACAGTGACAGTTTAGTCTACAGTGACAGTTTAGTCTACAGTGACAGTTCAGTCTTCAGTGGCAGTTTAGTCTACAGTGACAGTTTAGTCTACAGTGACAGTTTAGTCTACAGTGACAGTTTAGTCTAGTCTACAGTGGCAATTTAGTCTACAGTGACAGTTTAGTCTACAGTGACAGTTTAGTCTACAGTGACAGTTTAGTCTAGTCTACAGTGGCAATTTAGTCTACAGTGGCAATTTAGTCTACAGTGACAGTTTAGTCTACAGTGACAGTTTAGTCTGCAGTGGCAGTTTAGTCTACAGTGGCAGTTTCGTCTACAGTGACAGGCAGTTTAGTCTACAGTGACAGTTTGGTCTACAGTGACAGTTTAGTCTACAGTGGCAATTTAGTCTACAGTGACAGTTTAGTCTACAGTGACAGTTTAGTCTACAGTGACAGTTTAGTCTGCAGTGGCAGTTCAGTCTACAGTGACAGTTTAGTCTACAGTGACAGTTTAGTCTACAGTGACAGTTCAGTCTACAGTGACAGTTTAGTCTGCAGTGGCAGTTTAGTCTACAGTGGCAGTGGAGTCTACAGTGACAGTTTAGTCTACAGTGACAGTTTAGTCTGCAGTGGCAGTTTAGTCTACAGTGGCAGTTGAGTCTACAGTGACAGTTTAGTCTACAGTGACAGTTCAGTCTACAGTGACAGTTTAGTCTACAGTGACAGTTTAGTCTACAGTGGCAGTTAAGTCTACAGTGACAGTTTAGTCTACAGTGACAGTTCAGTCTACAGTGACAGTTTAGTCTACAGTGGCAGTTTAGTCTACAGTGACACTTTGGTCTACAGTGACTGTTTAGTCTATAGTGGCAGTTTAGTCTACAGTGACAGTTTAGTCTAGTATACAGTGGCAAATATAGTCTACAGTGACAGTTTAGTCTACAGTGACAGGCAGTTTAGTCTACAGTGACAGTTTGGTCTACAGTGACAGTTTAGTCTACAGTGGCAATTTAGTCTACAGTGACAGTTTAGTCTACAGTGACAGTTTAGTCTGCAGTGGCAGTTTAGTCTACAGTGGCAGTTTAGTCTACAGTGACAGGCAGTTTAGTCTACAGTGACAGTTTGGTCTACAGTGACAGTTTAGTCTACAGTGGCAATTTAGTCTACAGTGACAGTTTAGTCTACAGTGACAGTTTAGTCTACAGTGACAGTTTAGTCTGCAGTGGCAGTTTAGTCTACAGTGGCAGTTGAGTCTACAGTGACAGTTTAGTCTACAGTGACAGTTTAGTCTGCAGTGACAGTTTAGTCTACAGTGGCAGTTGAGTCAACAGTGATAGTTTAGTCTACATTGGCAGTTTTAATAAGTCTATAGTGGCAGTTTAGTCTACAGTGGCAGTTTTAATAAGTCTACAGTGACAATTTAGTCTAACAATGCAGTAAACTATCTTTATAACAAACACGATTATATCGAACTGTGTTTTGTACCCGACCACTTGCTGTGTAATTTAGTCATAATGCATACAATGAGCTACGGTTTTAATGAACAGAAATTACTGGTCCCTTTGAGTTCAGTATAACCATAGTTTACTGTATGTTATTTCTGTGTTTTCTTGAAAAGAGACTTTGGCTATATTAATTTGTTTATTGTGTAGGAGATTAATTTGGTTCTATTTGTGAATGAGAGACACAAAATTATGTTGTCAGAATTGGTATGAGAATTTTCTGAACAAACATCTCACAATATGAGGCATGATGCCTCAAGGTCAGGTACTACAGAGATCCATTGTTTTACCGGGTAGTAGTCTCATTTACATTTCTTGTCTGCTAGCTTACCAGAAAGAATTTAATGGTGAAGAATTTGAAGAGGCTTCGGAAACAAGTGGAAAGAGAACATGGCAAGCTCGAGGCTCAAAGGTAAATGGTCAAAGGATGATGATGATGATGATGATGATGATGATGATGATGATGATGATGATGATGATTGATTAAAGACAGCCAACAACATAACGTGTTCATTTATAAACAATCTCTCGTCTTGAAGTATTATCTTGGTCCTGTGCATTTGTAGTCATCGTTTTTGGCTGTGTCATATCTCAGATAACTCGAAGTATTTACGTAGGTCCCTTCAACTTTGACATAACACTGTTTGACAGCATCATTGATTGATCAGTGGAAAAGTTACACACAAGTTATAGTTTTAATCATGAAGTAACTTGACTTATATTTTGCGATCAATTTCCTTTTTCAGCTTTGACTTCTACCCAACTACATATGAGTTACCTGTAAGTATCCTCACTCACTGAAGGAAGTTTGGAAATGGTCTGTACACTGTCATGTTTATCATGGCTGGCAGACATGTTTGTTTACAGAAACATCCCCATCATGAGAAATGGAGGAAGGCAATGCAAATGGAACAAGAAACCTAATATGACACCTTAAAGTCTATTATCTACACTAACAATCTAGCTCTCTTGCAGCTAGCTATATGGAACTTCCTGTTAAAGTCTGTTGATCAGGCTACTTATGTCCTATCTGGAGCTATCAAAACGATAGTATAATGTCACCTAAATCAAGTAGGACCCAAACTCCAGTGCATCTGAATCAATCACGTGGTCAGCAGCATGTGGTCTGACCTCACAGGAAAGGTCATAGTCTCCTCCTTTTTCTGTGGGGCATGTTGCATTTACCTGGCCTGTTCCATCTGTCTGTCTTCAGGCCAGGTGGTGAAATCAGATGGCTGGTGGTCAGTTGTGAAATTGGGTGTTGGAAATGAAACATGGTGTATGATTGTAAAACAGAGGTCATAATGTCACTGGGTATCTTGTAATGAGGTGGGTAATGAGATGGTGTAGTGTGATAGGTAGAATGTAATAATTACAATATTATTGTCTGATGAATCACCAGTAGTACAGCACACTGAGCACCTTACTGATGAAATCTAGGCGCTATAGAAATGCATTATTATCCCCCGGGGGGTATTAAAATGGACTCTGTCTGTAATATGGCGGCGTCGTCCGTCAAATCCGTCCGATCAGATCATTATGTGCACATTTGTCTTTTCCGGAGCAGAACTCTAAAACCGTTCAATATTTCTTCACCAAACTTGGCACATACATGGATCTGGTGGTGTACTGGTGCCTTTTGGTAGTTTTGGAATTCTGAATAAAATATTTTTGGCATTTCCATGGCAACAAGTTTGACTAAAACTGAAATTAGTGGTAGTGCTCTTTTCTGGAGCAGAACTCTAAAATTGTTCAATATTTCTTCACCAAACTTGGCACATACATAGATCTGGTGGTGTACTGGTGCCTTTTGGTAGTTTTGGATTTCTGAATAAAATATTTTTGGCATTTCCATGGCAACAAGTTTGACATAGACTGAAATTGGTGATAGTGCTCCTTTCTGGAGCAGAACTTTAAAAACCTTTCAATACTCTCCTTCTACTTTTCTATATATAACTAAATATTTGACATAATCATAACTCGTAGACATAATTATGAAGAGTATTTTGCCATTGCGGGGGATATTGATGACTTTGTCTTCTTGTTATTATTATTTTTATTACTGATGGTGATCCATGTTGTCTGCAGTCGGAGTACCATATCTTTGTGGAGGAGTTCAAGAAGAGCCCTGGTGTGGTGTGGATCATGAAGCCTGCAGCCAAGTCACAGGGGAAGGGCATTTTCCTGTTCCGTAAACTGAAGGACATCATGGACTGGAGAAAGGTAGGGACATAGGGACCATCAAATGTTGGAAGGGAATGGCTGGCCCACTGGGCTAAGGTGCCTTACTAAGACTGGTGGGGTAGTGGGGTTGCCTAGTGAATAATGTGTTCGCTCGTCACGCCGAAGACCTGGGTTACATTCCCCACATAGGTACAATGTGTGAAGCCCATTTCTGGTCTGTCCTGCATGATATTGCCGGAATATTGCTAAGGGACCGTTCATAATTTATGGCTAGAGGGGTGGGGGTGGGGTGTGTGTGTTTTGTGATGATGATTTTAAGAGGGTCACCCATTTTGTTCTTGGGAGCTAGGGGGTCAGCAATTTTGTACACACAAACTGGGGGTGGGGTGGGGGTGTCAGCAATTTTGTACATAAAAATATGTTTAAAATCATGCTAAGAAATTATGGGAAGGGTAGGGGGGTCATATTGATTTTGTACATGACATGCAGGCGGTTTACTTAATTTGTACATAAATTTTAGGGGGCGTCATTCACATTGTACATGCTTCTCCATAAAAATCATCACCCCCCTAGCCATAAATTATGAACGGTACCGAAATGTGGCGTAAAACCAAACGTACTCACTCACTCACTAGGACTGTATTTCATCAAACTTCACTTACTAACCACCCCTCCCTCTCCCTACTTCCTTCACTCCCTCCTTCACTCCTTCACTCTCTCACTCACTTGCATTGATATATGACATTTTTGATCACCTGGTACTATAATTATGTCTACAGTGCATCAGTCTTCTCCGACATGATGCTCTCATGTTTTACTGTTACTGAAATACTGTCCAAAGAAATATAGTAGGCGTCATAAATAAAGGGTCAAGCTATTGGTAGCAGTATTTCTTAAAAGTTGTAAAATCTTCGTTTTTGTTTGAAATATATACAACTGAATGTTTTACAAAATTTCTTAACAGTATGGAAAAACACATCAGGACGCTGAAATGTCATTATTACGTTCTTTAACGTTCGATACATTCTGTTGCAAATGGCACATTTTTTATTCAAATTTTCAATATGGAATTCCACCTGCCACTTGATGTCAATGATTTGCACATGTAAGCCACTCTATCCATCGAAAGTGGAGGACAATACACATGCATTGATGCTCTTTCACTGTCGTTCACTGTTCAGGTACCTGTTTGAAATTGCAGCTTAAAATGAGACGTTTTTTGACACTTGCTGAAAGGGGTCAGGCTATATAGGCCTTTTTGGAATCTGGTCAAACTCAGCGGCAGGTAGCTATCTGCCTTAATGTGCTGTTACTGTGGCAGAGATTTCAAGCCAATGGGTCCATGGAATATGCATGTCGACCAGGTGCTCCTTTCACGAAGCAACCTTTACTAAGGTTAACCTTAACTCCCATTCTTTAACATTGCACTATGGTTACCTTAGTGACTTGCAATCACCTTAGTGCTTTGGGAAAGGAGGCCCAGGTTGCCCCAGAGTCCGAGATTATAGCCACATGATTAACACTGCGTTATGTAACAGATTCCTTAACGCAGCACATCTTCAGACAGAACACTTCAATGTTAACAATGTAAGGATATCCAGTGTAAGGATATCCACTGTTCGTCCACCACTAACACCACGTCACAGGCAGGCGCATTTCAGATTGAGTAGACATCATGGCCGCTGGAATCAATGTCAATGGTCTCGTGTGGGCTTCACAGATGAAAGCAGATTCAATTTGTCCTTCCACAATGGTCGGAGAGCGATTCACAGATGCAACTGTGGCCACATGTAACCGATTTGGCAGGGGTTGGTCATGGTTTGGGCAGGGATAACTCCTGCTGGACGTACTCCACTGCACATGGTTGACGGTAGTCTTACCTGACAGCGTTATCGGGAAGAAATTCTGGCTTCAATAGCAGTATCATTCCTGCAAGTTATGCATGGCTTTTATGGTCGACCCTCTTTACTGCAAGGCGACAAGGCTAGGCCTCATAGGGCCAGGGCCCCATTTCACAAAGCTCTCGTTACCCTAAGATCTCGTAGCTTTTCTCATAGCATTCGTTCCTCCTATGTTAACTTTGAGAACTTTGTGAAAAGGGGCCCTGGATTGTCACAGGAATTCCTTAGGCAGCAGGGTGTAGAGAGATGGTGTGGCCAGCATGCCGGACCTCAACCCAGTTGAGCATGCCTGGGATGAACTTGGTCAATGTGTGTATACACGTCACCCAGCACCAGTGGATATCCCAGGACACTGCAGAGCTCTAGTAGAGGAATGGAATGGGATTCTGCAAGCTTTTTTTATGAACTTAATAAAGAGCATGAGAACAAGGTGCACCTGTGTCTTGGACGTGCGAGGAGGGTACACAAGATATTGAATGACCGAGTGCTTCATGTTTGTCATTTTCATTTTGGGGGGTTGGTCTATACAACTGATGTTTGCTAGTGCTTTTTGAACTTTTTGTCTCTATGTCACGATGTGTCAGTTTGTCAACACATTACACATTATGATGACACTCTTAGTTCTATTATTTCTGAGAAACTTGTCTTGACATATGTGCTATATATCATTTGACCCTTTATTTAATGATGCCTAGTATATATAACATAACTCTCATTATATGTATGTACATAGTGGCAGGAATATGTCCATTGTTTGAGTTGTCATCCCTCTGACTTTCATTTGTACTTTACAGGGTCAGTACCAGCCAGTGTCCGACCCCAATATTCGGGAGGGTCCGGAGCTCTATGTTGTACAGCCCTATATTGAAGACCCCTATCTGATTGGTGGACGCAAGTTTGACATCCGTGTCTATGTTCTTGTATTGTCTGTAAGTAACTAAAGTATCCCCTTTGTACTGTCATGATAGATTGTAATGTCCAAATACCTACTCAGCCCTTGTACACATTTGTTTTGAGTCCACCTTGTGTAAAGGATTTGTCAGATCTTGACAGAGTTATCAACTTAAGATTTGATTCTAATGAGATTGCCCTAATTTGATAACTCTTCATGAACAACCATTCAAAAATGTCATATTGATATTGAACATAATCTTTTGACACCTGTCTTAAGAATTTAGTTTTAATACCAGTCTCAACATCCTATCTTTGATAATAAAATACGTCCCTTTATGCTCTGTCCTTTCTTGACACCCATGAAGATCCAGGTTAGAATTGATCTTCAGTAACCTTGTCGTAAGATTCGATTAACAGGATCGAGTGGTCAGGCTCGCTTACTTGGTTGACACATGTCATTGTATCCCAGTTGCATAGATCATGCTCATACTGGATTGTCTGGTCCAGACTCGATTATTTACAGACCGCCACCATAGCTGGAATATTGCTGAGTGCTGCGTAAAACTAAACTCACTCACTAACACACTCTCCTTTCTTGAATCGTATCAAGATTTTCTGTGTTGTAATAAAGTTTTCTTTTACTGTCTTGCTATAGATGTTTATTTAGTTGGTTGATTCAAATGTTTGTGTTTACAGTACAACCCGTTAAAGGTATGGCTATACCGGGATGGGTTTGCCCGCTTCTCCAACACCCCGGTTCTCGCTAGACTCTATTGAAGATGCGTGTATCCTTCCAAAGTTACTACTGAGTACAACTTTTCAGCAGCTTACACCAAGGGGCAGGTCAGAACACATGCCCAACATCCACTTCATGTCATAAGATAACTTCGGTGTGGAATTTAGACGTTGGTGTAATGAACAAGGGGTGTCCATGGATATACAACTTCTTAATACAATAATGTTCAATGTTAGATCCTAACACCGTTATCAAGCTACGTTGATTTGGTTGAGTGTATGTCATCCTACCACAGATGTCATGGTTAATAACAACCACTGGTTTGTCCTGACTTTATTCAGGGGCGGTGGGGTAGCCTAGTGGTTAAAGCGTTGGCTCGTCACGCTGGCGACCCGGGTTTGAATCCCCCACATGGGTACAATGTGTGAAGCCCATTTCTGGTGTCCCCCTGCCGTGATGTTGCTGGAATATTGCTAAAAGCGGCGTCAAACCATACTCAGTCAGTGAGTCAGTCCTGACTTTATTCAGCTGGACAAACAGATGTATAGTAGCATAGTGTGTTGACACTTCATGCGTGGTTTTGACAGTCAGTTGGCAGCAATAAATTAATGGTCAATGTAAATGGTTTTCAACATCTTTCCAAACAGCTTTGACTAACAACTGTTTAAATTCTGTAAATAACAATGCAATCCTTTTTGAACAGAAACTTCTTTTTTCATGTTAAGAATTACATTCTTGTTTTATCAGTATGTCATAGATGTTATACTGACTGACTGACTGAGTTTTGTTTTACGCTGCTTTTAGCAATACTCCAGCAATATCACGGCGGGGGACACCAGAAATGGGCTTCACACATTGTACCCATGTGGGGAATCGAACCCGGGTCGCCGGCGTGATGAGCCAACGCTGTAACCACTAAGCTACCCTACTGCCTAGATGTTATACATTCAACCTTGGCTTACAATAGTGTTTTGAGTGCTGGTAATTCTATGCCAGTCACTAGAAAACATTAAGACATTCTTTGTGCAGAAAACATTAAGACATTCTTTTGTGCAGTAGCTCAAGGTTGGAGTTGGCACAAGTCTGTTTCGAGTCCTGTGTTGTTGCTACTGGGTCGGCCTCCTGTGTAGGAGCAAGGACTCTGCCCACCCATCCAACTACTGTCTGTGACCAACTACTGTCTGTGACCAACCAGATTTGTGATCTGTAAACAGATCGTAGGGTATAAGGTGGCCGGAATAATTTGCTAAAGCATTATGAAAAGTATTACAGAAACAGTCTCTTCCCCTTAGTCTTCAGTAACACCATCCTCAGTGGTTTGACATTACAACTGTACAACAGACACATTTAACTGATTCTTGTCTTTGTAATGTACATAGTCAATCTGAGATGAAGATCTAGGTTCACTTCAGATAGCATACAAAGGTAATTGTTCATATTGGCTACTATGACCTTGACCTGTCTAGATGTTCATCTGACCAACGTAGCTGTTCAGAAGACAGCTCCAGATTATGATCCAGAACGAGGCTGCAAATGGTCCACACGGCAGCTTCGAAAATACCTCTCTGCGAAACATGGTGATGAAGATGTAAGCACAAAACTACTTTTGTCAAAAAGTACACTATAACATGGAATTAGTTTGGAAGTACCCCTCTTGCCACCACTTGTCTGAATTAGATCATCTGCAATTTGTTGTACTGCTGAAAGCAGCACGGATGATCCATAGCAAGAGACACCGCACTTCACTTTGCTGAGTTATCTCCCTTAGACCTGCCAAGATCAGGTGGCATAATCACTGGATTGTCTGGTTCAGTGTCAATTCTTTATACACCGCTGTTATGTGGATGGAATATTGCTCAGCGTGGTCTCAAAACGAAAAAAACAAACATGCCAAAGAATTCAGAAGTATAAACTGGATTCTGTGTTTTAGAATTATTCCAAACAGACTCCTATTTTTGTGAGATGGTAGATTATGTACAACTTTGTTCTCTTTATAACTTGAAATTCATGACATGACAAGTTATTTATGCCTTAACTGGACATAATTTTCATTGTTTTCAGTTTAATCTGATTTGTTTATATTGTTTTATTTCTCTGTGCAGGTGAAAAATCTGTTCAAGAACATTGACAACATGATCATCAAATGTCTACAGAGTGTTCAGAAGATCATGATCAACGACAAACACTGCTTTGAGATGTATGGCTACGATGTGCTGTTGGACTCCCAGCTCAAGCCGTGAGTATAATGGACCCTCTATTATCGCGGTAGTTAATGTTGTCGCCATCGGGATTATGAACGGCTGCTGACATTTACCATTTTATATATATTTTCAGTTGGCTGATGTATAATCTTCATTTCTGTCACAGATAATGTGACACATAGTCGCAACTCGTTTAATGCCATTGCGGCAATTCCGATTGTCTCGTTTGACCTTGAAATTGAAGCAACTCTCTATTATCGCGGAATTGCTATTTTCTTACTATGGCACGCGGTACAAGCAGATTACACTGTGAAACGTTTACTAAGACTAGCAACGAATCTAAATAGTTTGATCATTAAAAATTATTTAGGAATTTTATTCACATCAGTAATATCATCATGTTTTTAACCCAAACATCTGAAACTTCTATTCATTTGGATACAAGGTAACAATAACGTTACAATATAGTGTTTTTCTGCCTTAAAACGTACCATACAAGTTGCTGCCATGTGTAGAGTGAAGTTGCATAATACGTCACTTCCTGTTATATTTTTAGCACGGAAAATATGCAAATGACCTAATAGTTGTTGCAGGATTACTCTTGACGAAATAAGTTTTGATTCATGCTAGATGTAGTGGCGGTAGGGGGTCATACTAGTTTCAAAATGTTCCAGAACTTACTGAAAAGTTGAATGCTTTACTATTTCTACGATTAGACATGATATTCCAGTGAAATAAATGACTTTTTCAAGAGCGATGAATATATTTTACATAATTTGCATATGTAAACAGCCGATGCGGGGCATGGTGTTTCTGCTTTCCCGATGTTTTCGTGTGCCGTGATAATAGAGAGTCCCAGTATACATCCTGTCACCAGATGACGCAGTCAGACCGAGAATGTTCTCAGAACTCTAAACTTATCAAACAGTTGGATTTGGTGGTCCAAATTTGAGGATTTTGTTTCATCAATGGTGTAGATGATTGTTCTTGCTATCAACCACTGGTTCGCTCGGCTCCATCCTTGATAATCCAGGTATAATATATGCCCTCAATAATGATCAATACCATGGAGTAGTTTGACCCGACAGCTGTTTGTTATCAAGGGAAATCTCTACCAGTGTCTCTCTTATCAACAAACAGGACACAGGATTTCTCACGCTCACGTGTGTAGCCTGATTAAACGTCTACTTTCAATATCACATTTTTTTAATCTGGTTCAACGTGAAGCTACCGAATTGAGACATATACTGTATAGCTGTAGATATGTGTCCGAGATTCTTTGCTATATCTACAGACCAGTATGACATAGCATGGCTATTTCCCCATAGTGGCATTGAACAGGGGTTCAACATTTTTTTAAAAGCCACTTGCCAGTGACTTTAAGAAAGTAACTTGTCCTGACTAATTTTCCACTTGCCCTGATTTTATGACATAATTATGATGATGTAATTATGAAAGAAGAAATGAACATGGTATTTGATGTTAATGTTTACTGGACTATTGATTGAAAAGTGATAAATAGCAAAGAAAGATAACTCTACTTTATTATCATTGCGAAATGTAATAGCTACATTTTGAGCAGATATGAAATTAAATCCAAGTTTGTTTGCTGTTTGAAACCATAAGTGGAAATTATCTAGTAGCCCACGGACAGGTACAAATTATTGAGACACAGAAAATTCATTTTGCTGTATTCTGTGTCTGAGAAAAATTTGCATTTTACATTGTAAATGAATATGAAATTCTTTTTCTGTTATGTATGCCTAACAAACAGTAGCTGCAAGTTTCATTCTAACTGGAAAGATGTAATAAATCATAATTGTTTTAGTGATAACCTTTGGCCCTCTGCTGAAGAAAATGCAAGGAGGATATTCATCACTTGCTTAAAGCTCTCTGCCCCATTGATTGAATGATTGAATAAGAATGTCTAATGAAAACTTTGCTTCTTTTACAATAATGTGTGCAAGTGCTGACACAGTCCATTTGCCTGGCTTCTTATGGTTGGTTTATAAATCTATGACATGTTCAGTGAAAACAGGTAGTTTTTTGCCTGAAGATAAAAAGCAATGAATCTGATTGAACTTCAAGCGTTCAGGTCATCTGAATGGTTGCAATGATGCCAGTGTGAAGTTTAATTTTAACTCACTCAGTTGCAACACTTAATCTTTTCCTCTAGGGAATGGACATTGTCGATGTGGCTCATTTGGTAGAGAATTAATTGCTGACAACATCTCTGTAAACGGACCAAAAACTTAAAATGTACGGTTTTGAACCTGTTTAATGAAGACGAAGTGTTCTGCATTCACATGGCTTCTCGGCCTGGCTGCAATATTTCTCCTCTAGCTGATTGCAGATACCCAGACGATTGAACATCGATGTCAGCAGCTTCATGAATATTAAACTTTTTGGGACATTTCCTCAGATCTTATTGTTTCTAGCCACTAAATCTTATAATTGACCCTCTCCTTGGCAAGTAATCACTTAGTACATTTCCTTTGAACTAGCTGGCTCATCGAGATCAATGCATCGCCATCACTGACAGCAAGTGGGAAAGACGATTACGACCTGAAGTATGGCCTGCTCACTGATCTCCTAAATGTGCTGGATCTCGAGAACAGGTGACAATCAGTGTGTTTATTACTTCTGTACGTCTGCAGTACGCTGTTGGCAGGTTCCATATCTGGTGTATCTTCTCCAGGGTGAAGCTGGACATGGTGGACACTAAGGGGTCAAGGACACTTTGACTGCTCTCTGTACTATCTGTTATGTGTTGATTCCCAAGATGAAACTAAGATGTTAACTGGGAATCAGTCTGTGAATCAGTCTGTGAACCAACAAGCATCAAAGAAATGTGATATAATTAATAATTTCTTTGAAAGGCTTCTTAGAAGTTGTAAAGATGAAGGAAAACCAAGTTCTATGGATAGTCAAATTCTTTGTTGCAATGAGAGCGACGTTTCAGTGTAGGTACTAACACTGTTATCAAGCAAGTGATGATAACTTGATTGAGAAAATCAAAATTGAAACAGAATCATTCATCATTCATCATTTATCATCATCATGGGATCTGGTTCTGTTGAATGTATCTGATTCTCTGTACTTGAAAATTGCTAAGCAGGTATTTATGTTACTTTTTGGAACCAGTGACATTATTTAATAGTGCAACCATAATTTGATGGTGCAGCCAAACTTATAAGCCAGGTTGCACCCGGTGCAGGTACTGGAAAATTAACAAAATCGCACCCTGAGATATTTCTGTCTAAATCTGGTAAAAGTCTAAATACACCACACCCCCGCACCTCAGTGACTAGCCACATATACAATGTATTACACTTCAAACATTGTTACACAATGAACAATACTGCCACATTTCATTCATTGATTTTTTATCATTCTGTTTTCAAGGCAGATAATTTTTTTGTCTAGTTACCATGGCAAGTTGTGATTCTTGTTTCCAATCATAGAATATTTCAATTTCATGAACACTTAGGTAAAGCTATATGATTATTATGACTGAACCTGACTCGGAACACTGGCAGAGCTAGCAAGTTAGATTCAAGTCATTCATAATCTGCTTTGTCAGCGAAACTAATTTATATTAGGTATACTACTCAAAATAAGTGAAGCAACACTCAGTTGTTTCTGATACATATAGTTAATCTTTAAGACAAATGTTCTTTGGAATATATTTTAAGTATTATATGTCAATCAAATGTTTGATCATAACCCTTGAGACAACATCTCAGTTTGATCAAGTCATCAATCTTTACTTCAAACCATGACTTCAGTGGGCTCTCCGTCACCAAACATTGTCCCTGTTAAGGTGGAATTGGTCAACACTTAGCAGAGTCCATGTGCCCTGCCTCAAGTTCAATTGAAAGATTTACGTGCCTGTAACAGTGTAAGGCAGTAGGTATTAATGGGCAAGTCTTAAGCATGTTATGACCTTCTAAAAAGAAGTCTTTCAATATTTCAGTACCCTAACACATTAATCAACTGTTTGGACACATTCTTTGAAATACAGTTTTAGTGTTTTAGTAATGTCAGTATCTAACATGATGGGTTGTTTAAAATCTTGAGATAAAATCTGTGGCCAATGAATACAGTTTCCTAAGAGACATGTAAACAAAATGGAGGTTTGCATCTTGTGACTTGTCCATTTGGCTTTCTATCAGCGCAGGGGCGGTGGGGTAGCCTAGTGGTTAAAGTGTTGGCTCGTCACGCCGAAGACCCAAGTTCGAATCCCCACATGGGTACTATGTGTGAAGCCCATTTCTGGTGTCCCCAGCCGTGATGTTGCTGGAATATTGCTAAAAGCGGCGTAAAACCAAACTCAGTCAGTCAGTCAGTCTATCAGCGCGACATGTGCAGTGATATAGTACCCTAGCTGCATCTGTGAATATTTCTTACAGTTGACACACCAACACTTAACCATACTTTCATGTTGTATGAAAATGAAAGCTGAAATTAGCTTCTTTTTGTAAAGAAATCCCCATTGCTGCTTGATAAGGGAAAGCAAGGAGGTTTGGCAAGTTTTTGTAATGAGAATTGCCCTGTGCCCTTTAAACATGCGAATCTCTGAAGTGGGAAGATGTGAATGCTTGACTTCAGACTGACAGGGAGAGAGAAGAGAATTGGCGGCTGGGATCTGCTCTGGGACGACGGACCCGTCGCAGCGGATGAAGGCAACATGGACTGCAATGGAGGCACCAGTGTCTACAATGCAAACTCCTTCCTTGGTAACATAAATCCCACTATTTTTATAGTAAATAGCATATCAGTTCCTTACAACTATGTTTCTGGTATTTGTGGATACAATTGAGAATATTAGCTTGTTGGATGCTTGCTACAGCAGGTCTGATAGACATGGGGTAATCCAAGCATGACTCACATGAGTTGGCATGTTAACATTAATTGTAACGACCTGCTGATTTCCATACATTGTACAGCATGTTCGGTGGTTGTGACGAATATCAACTGATCGATTTGCTACCTCTTATACGATTCGATGTGCTGATATTAGTGTTGATCTCATAATATGTAGTATATAGTATTTTGTTTCCATGGTATTAAAACATCTGAAGCAGACGTAGCAGCAGTTATCAGTGACTTTTTCAGAAATGCCAAACTGATCGATTCTCTTTTGGAATAATCCCTGCACGTGATATTCCATAGTGTTTCGTGACTCAGATAATCACCCACAAAACACTCTGTTTCCTCCCGTGAAAAATCGAGGTGTGGTTTCTTTGAAGCAGACGAAGCCATGTTTCGCACTTGTATGAACACATTTACCATGTGACACCAAAACACAATTTGATTGGCCACGTCACATCCAACTTGCCGAATAACTAGAATAGGCTCTACACACTCGCGACACAATTGACATGTGTTCGAGCAGCCAATTTGTACCGTTTGCTGAATTCGATTAATCACTCAGATGATATGACTCGGTCAATTCAATGTGCCGACCAGTGTGAGTTCGCCTTTAGGGTTGATACCCAGCAATATGTTGGTTGTCAGAGGTTACAGTGGGATTGGGTGGTTGACTTCGTGACTTGGTGACTTGGTTGACACCGTGTCATCGTACCCCGACAATGTGGATCAGTGCTTGCATTCACTGGTTGATTATTTAACAACCTGCATGGATATGGATATGCAGAGATGCCAACCACTCCAATTTTGGAGGAGTTACTCCGATTTTCAAATACAAAATCCACTCTCCGATTTGTCTATAAAAACTCCCATATTTTAGAAAATACAAATATGTTTATAAATTTAGAATGTTTGAAAGAATTTTAGTAAATATGTTCGTTTGAGTTAAGAATTATCTGGTTAAGTATGCCCAGAAATTGCATATTTCCAAGCTAAATCTAGAGATTTTCATAGGGGAGGCCCCCTAGACCCCCACCGTCAAAAGGGCCCCAAGCCCTGTCTCACGCTCAACCCCAACTCGCAGCTTCAGGGCTCGGGAATTGCTTTTAGCAAGGCATGATTCCACTTTCGTTTGATTCAGGGTTGGCATCTCTGGATATGGATATGCTCCATCTGTGTCATTTGGTTGTGGTCAATATATTCCTTTGCCTAGTTTTATAATGATGTTTATTAAGATATATATTTACTCGTGTATGTATGTCTTTAGGTTGTCAAAATGAGCGGAAGTCCCAACTTAGAGAAATGTTCAAGGTGGCCCAGATGGTAAAGAGACCTCAGTGAGAGCAGACGCCAAGATTACGTAGCAGAACAGATACTAAACCACTTCAAAGAGGAGATAACAGAACCATATTACAGAACAGACGCCGAAACCACATTGAAGAGCAGACATCAGAGCAAACACCAAAACCACATTGCAGAGCAGACATCAAAATACCTGACAGCAGAAACCAAAGCAGATGCCAAAACAGTACAGAGCAGAAGTTAAAGAAGATGATGTAGCAGAAGACAGATCATCTGTGACAATCTTACCTACTTACATGGTACATGTAAATGCTTGCATGTTTTCATGTTTGGTGCCATGGAAATGTAAAGATTTGTTTTTGAGTTTCTGAAATGATTTTACAGAGCTCAAGTTAAGTATATTAAGAAAAATCAGAAAATTATTCCTAAACTTTCAAGACTCTGGATTCATGATAATGCATTTAAGCTGATATTGTGCTTTATCAGACTTGAAAGGGTGATCTTCTCAGGACAAGGGTGTTTGACACACAGGATGACAACAAACTCCGTACTTGGTTAAGCCCTTCATCATTGTTTGTCTACGAAATCAGTTTTGATAATCAGGTGCAATGGAGGGATAGGAACGCTGATGAGAAGTCTAGACATGGCTGAAGGGCACGCAGCTCACCATTTGTGATATTCCATCAGCAATTTTGTCTCAGCAAAACTTTATGATACGCACAGATTGGCGTGTCTCTGCATACTTTAACCATGAACAATGAACAAAATTTAAAGTAGAAAGATAAAATTTTCCTCCCTAAGCTCTCAGGTTTTAAAAAAGCCATGAGAAAGAAGAATTGATGAAACTTAATAGTTGATTACTTCAGAGTGACCATGACAGGATATCCAAGGGTGAGTCCTTGTGTACACGCTGGAAGTCTGACATTGTATTCAGACACAGGCAATATCTGGATGATGCTGATGTTGGTTAGAGATCTTGTGACTTGCCAGTTCTGCCACATGCAATTTTGTTTTTGCAATATATATATATAATTTTGTTTGCTGTGCTATATTTAGCCAAATGGATATATTTTTTATAAGAAAATGGATTCTGACACAGGGAATGTTGGTCTTGCCACCATATATGGGTGATGTATTAGAGGTGATAGAATATTGTTTTATGCTGCAGTCTGTAATACTCGAGCCATAATGATAGTGAATGAATAACAGTATGGCAGTCGCAAACCAGTGTTTGATAGCATGAACACCAACCTGTGCTGCTGGGCTAGTATGACTTGCATTTATTGCATTTTCATTGGTTGTTGGGACAAATATTTGCAAGACTACAACTTGGCAACGTCGCTTGAAAGGCAGATTGGTTCATGATTCATGCCATGCTTCACAGATCTTGCTGGTCTCTTTGATCTTTAGGATTAATTGTGTAAGGGTTAGGTATGAAATTATGAATCCCCCGACACAATCTATATCCCTTGGATCCCCATGACAGCTCTCAGGGTAAATTTTTGGGCTAGTAATCTCTTTTAGTGAATTAACCAATGATGTTGGTGGAAAATCTGTGCAATTTTGATCAAAGTCGAGGTAATTTCTACTATGCATGCACAAGCTAAACAGTTTGGTGCAGATCCCCAGATTGACAAGCACTGTATACTTGGGACTGCTCCAGTGGCCCTGTAGTAAAGTGCACAGGGGAGTAATATGAGTTCCGATCCTTATGAAATGTGGTCAGAGTAAGTCCTTAATTAACACACCTCAGTGGTGGATCCAGAGTTTGAGTTGACAATGGCAAGGATCAGGTGGATGTTGCCTGTCACTGTAGCCTGTCCAAAAGGAGTGTTACTCAACCGCTGGTTTGCCAAGCTGGGATAGTTTAGTTCCTGGTCACTGCTATATTCATGTAGTGTTGTTGATGGTGGCATAAAACAACATTCAGCCATGGATATGTTTTGTTTGCTCACAAATTGAAATATATCTCATATCTTATAATATTAATCTCCATCACAAATATCATATCTATATTCCATTCAAATATGCAATATATTTCAGTTTGATGCCAGTTTATTGAAACTTATGAAAGCTGTATCATCCTAGCCAACAAGAACCACAGTGTGACAGTGATATACAATGTGTGTGTGTGTGACTCATTATGCCCTGATCCTATGTGAGACGTATTTTACACTTAATAATTAATACACTTAAATCAATGTATCGTTGATGTTATCCTGGCTATAGAAGCTTGATGGCCAAGTGGGCACTGTGCTTGCTAATCAGGCAAAATACAATCAGATAACACTGATATAGGGAATCTTCAACATGCATAATATTATACAATTTCCCTGTTCATCAGCTTCCAAATAGATGTAAAAGAGTGAATGTTATCAATATGTACAACTTTATTTCATGATTTAGTTATATCATTACTTTACCGAAGAGGAAAACTTTATTACTTCAGGCTTTCCTCCAGGTATGGTGTTAAACCCAACTCACTCACTAATGCTATTAATTTGGTGAAACCAGTAGTAATTTCATGGTAACCCTTTCTACTGAGGTCCCCTTATGTAGGGCATTCTTTTGTTTTTTGTTGCTCAATGCCCCAACCTTCAGTATATTCCAGTAATGATGGTGCTCTCTAAATAATCGAGTATGGCCCTGACAATCCAGTGATTGACATGAGCATCAATCTGAATTAGGAGATGGCTTGCAGCAACCAAGTCAGCAAGCCTGACCACCTGATCCCGTTAATCACCTTTTACGATAAACATGGGTTGCTGAAGACCAATTCTAACCCGGATCTTCAAGGGTCCTATGTATAGTAAGTAGGCTTGATGCTTAACACTGTATTCGATCCAACCTACCTGTATTGCTTCAAGAAAAGTATGCACACCTGTTTGACTGGATGAACTGCCTGCAGGTGTACCTCTTGTCTCCACAAACCTGGGTTGTTCTGACCTTTGTGTTCAGATAATACATTGATATAATAAACTGGTACCAAAGGTGCAAATTGTGAATTTTTTTAAAGTAAAATCTGTATTTTGTGTACACAAATTGTTCTCATTATGTGTATATATGTGGGTTTAGTCCTGAAAGACTGACTGAAACTGTCTTCCACATGGCATGTAAATTGTTTTGATTGTGTAACATTTTCAGAATTAGTTGAAGTGTTTTGTTCAGTTGTTCAGTTGCATGAAAATGGCAATGGTTATAGATTTGCTAGATACTCTAAGAATTAAAGACCTTCACTAAGGAAATGTGAGGAAGCAGGAGACACATCACGAGGCGCATGCGTCAAAGAGATAAGGCACACGGTCCAATCCTTACGTGTGAAGACATTGTTCATTCCTGGTTTAACGTCACACTCAGCCATATTCCAACTATGAGACTGTGGTGTGTAAGGAATTGTGTCTGGACCTGACAAACCCGTGATTGCAGTCACGAGCATCGATCAGCCCAGTTGAGATATGATGACTGCATTAAACTAGTCAGCGATCCAGACACTGGATTCGTTAGACGCCTTTTACTGCAGGAATGTGTTGCTGAAGAGAGTTCCAGCCCGGATCTTCATTGATCTGGAGGCAGACATAGATGTCGCAGTAGCCCCACAGTAGTAACATGAGGTGTGAATGTTGTGCAGTAGGAAGACAGACTGTCATGAGTCAGGAGTACCTGTTTGGATTCCGAGTTAAAACTGGTCTCTTGCAGCCAGTTGTAGTCTCAGGAGGCGGTTGCGGCATGGTCACGTGGTCAGCAGTCGTGACCAGACATCTTGGATCGTTGCTCACAATACCACCACTGGCTTGTACATATTTACCGGCGACCTTGACAAACCTGAACATTGCCACAGATCGGCATTTCACAACCACTACATCAAACCCAAATACTAAAGTATAAAACATCATACATACATTGTGGTATATATAGGTGTTACAAAGATGCAAAACATCCCAGTTGTAGATGTTTCAGACACACAGCTCTGAATTGCATGTTTCAGTGATCCGTCCGTTATAAACATACTGCAGCATGGGTCAAGCAAATACCAAGCATATAATTCTGGATATTGCCGGAGAATGGCAAGGACTACTGCCTCCTTTGGAATATTCATTTCCGTCGTTATTAAGGAACCTGACGAGGAGATAAAAGACCCCAGGAACCGCCACAGATAGGACACGTGATGACAAGGAGAAGTTCCACAGATAATTGTTGTGTTCTGTACATTTCTGTATACCGGTAATGGGCCGGACCCGGGGACAAAGCCACTAATTGTGACGACCTTTCCGTTTATTATGGTCAGAATACATAAAGACAGCTAGGTGCCCAGGGACAGTTTCATCACTCATTAATGTTAAATGCATTATTATTTTTACAAAAGTGTTTTCAAGAACATCATCAAGTATGTGTACGGAGGGTAAGGCAGAACGCTTGTTAATTACCAGGAGAAATGAGCACCTATAGAATACAGCACCACAACTTCTCGTACGGACAGTCTGCGGTAGGACACCCGCGACCCGTTGTTACCCCGACAACTAACCATCTGAGCCACGCCAACACTGTTACATTTTGTGTTTAGAAATGTATCTTGTCATTTCAGAGATGGACGGAAATGAACGGAAAGAGTCGAATAGGCTACGGACAATTACGAAGGCTACGGGTAAACTTAGTGTCTCGTGATATTAATCTTCGGACACATTGACAAATGATCCGGATGCCATTTGGCACACTCGCCCCATTCCGTAATCTACAAGATATTGTGTGGTGTTGAATGATCCGATATGGCGCGAACTGAAAACGGTTGTTGACGTCGGGCGTCAGATGTCGAATTCACGATATGAATAAATGACGTGTTTGTAAAAAAATAATCGTGTGAATTTGTGACAGAAAAGCGTTACAGGGAAAACCGTGAGGATAAGAATGAGGTACACATGAGCATGTCTGGTGACACCAAGTTCCAGGGTAATTAGCACATATTTTCGACATTAAACCACTTCACCGTGCCCAACTTTCGACATTTTTGTGCGAGAAAAAGTATTAAAAATGCGAAAGGAAAAACAACAACAAATGCTACACATGCATTATATAGGTCTACCTACCATATTGGATTAGGTCCCTAACCCTAACCCTAACCCTAAAAAACAAGCCCCAACAAACCCCACAGAATAATCCTAATAGATAAAAAGAATTGACCGAAGCGGCACGAAAATGGCTGACGTGTTAAGTGTAAATATGAAATATATTAAAAACAAATGTGCTTTCATAAACTGCTTCTTTCTACAAAATGCGCCTCCGCCGTCGATGTTTAGCATCCCTACAGCGCTTGGTTTACTTAATGAATAAAATATGTTTAAAACAAATAACAAAACAAACTTAATGACAATGCGACAGTGCTCCAAGAGGAGATAACTCTCGCTAATCCAGCAAGTCTGACGTCACAGAGCATTCTACCATGACTTAAGTAAATACTGGATTGTGATTGGTTAATTAAAGTCATTCAGAGGTATATAACCACGTTATATACCTCTGATTGTCCAATACAGTATCTGTTTTGGGCGCACATGGAGGTGTTTGCTTACACAATCTTCGTCCGTATTCTCCACGTGTTGTCAATGTTTGAAGCCCACTTCACGTGTCCCCCGCCATCGCTCACTCACTCAACAATCGCTTAGAAAAATTCCGAGCGCATATGATATGAATCACAATTTCCGAGTGTATATATTTGGATTAACTCGCGAAAATGGTTTATTACCATGGTTACAGTGAAGTATATATAAAAGACTAGGTGTATCTTCTACATTTTGGCACCGAGAGGACGGAACTTCATCTCCAGTTTCCGCAGTGAATACCGGTCTCGCTTCCATGTCCACCACTCCACGCCATTGTGGATCTGGGAAACAGAAAACGAACGAAGAGTTACATAAGTTTGTGGCAAAAACGAAACGAACTATGTCCAAAATATTGATTTTTATATGGATCACAAACCGCCCAAGACTGACTGACTGAGTTTAGTTTTACGCCGCTTTTAGCAATATTCCAGCAATATCACGGCGGGGGACACCAGAAATGGGCTTAACACATTGTGCCCATGTGGGGAATCGAACCCGGGTCTTCGGCGTGACGAGCCAACGATTTAACCACTAGGCTACCCCACCGCCCCACAAACCGCCCAAGAACAAATGCTAGCAGTGATGTTAGGGATAATTACATTAATCTGAATACTATGCCACTGTTGTGTGTGTTTTACACAATGTGCTACTGTCATATGTTACTACCATGTTAATGGCAATAAGGAAGCCAGGACCGGCCCAACCAGTGGTCGATAGCATAAAGGCGTTGGTTGACATGCAAACAGGTCATCAAATCTTGGTACTTCCTGTTAACCATCTTGGTGTTAAGGGGATAAACAAAGGCCCACTCCCCTCATAGTGCCCGTGTTTGATATCTTTCTCAGTGGGTTGACAAGATAATCCCACCATTACTTCGGGCTAGAGGGCGGTGGGGTAGCCTCATGGTTAAGGCGCCTGCTCGTCACGCCGAAGACCCGGGTTCGATGCCCCACGTGGGTACACCATTTTTGGTGTCCCACGCCTTGATATTGTTAGAATATTGCTAAAAAGTGGTGTAAAACCATACTCACTCACGCGGGCTAGTGTGCACGTAGCCATGCATGCACGCATGGACGCACACTTTACCGCGATCCAACAGACCTTCGGTCACGCCAGTAAACACCACTTTTTAAAAATCCTATGATTAGTCTAAGGTTACCCTACCCCACAAGACGTCTCTTTTTAAACAATGCTCGTTTTACAGACATACAATGGTATACTGAACAAGGTCATCAGAGAGACCCCCTTTAAATATACTTATAGCGTCCTAGCAAAAGGCTGCAAGACGTCATGCGATTTACACGGCGATTGACAAGATAACAGCAAGTAGACATATGACGTATCACACATATTACACATGGCGATGTTGAACCTGACAGGGGGCTCCTCCAGTTGGCCACTAAACAGCCATGGATGACAGTGACGACTAGCCGTCAACGTCATCGGTTACTGACTGGCACTTATTACCAGGACACTGTCGCCAACGAAGGATCTTCGTCTCAATCCTGCAGCTGCCGGACTTATTTAATGATAAAGCTGACACCCTGCCTGTCACATGTATACCGGTGATCTCTGTAGCTGTTAAACCGTTAAATCCATGATGTACCTGAGGTTACTGAACTGTACAAGGGAGTCAGTTCGTTTGGTTTGATGGTTAGAGGGTTGTTGTTACCGCACTCAGCAATATTCCAGCTACATGGCGGCGGTCTGTAAATGATCGAGTCTGGACCAGACAATCCAGTGATCAACAGTATGAGCATCAATCTACGCAATTGGGTGAGTGAGTTTACGCCGCACTCAGCAATATTCCACCTATATGGCGGCGGTCTGTAAATAATCGAGTCTGGGCCAGACAATCCAGTGATCAACAGCATGACCATCGATCTACGCAATCGAGATACGATGACATGTGTCAACCAAGTCAGCAAATCTGACCACCCGATCCCGTTAGTATCCTCTCACGACAAGCATGGGTTACTGAGGACCCATTATAACCGGGATCTTCACGGGTATAGTTTGGTTTGAACAGTAATTTAGTTACAGGACAGTGTCAGCTTTGTCTGTCTATCTGTCTGTCTGTCTATCTATCTATGTATCTATCTATCTGTCCGTAGGTCCTTCCGTACGTCCGGGCGGCCTGCTGCTTTCTGTATGCACGCGCGCACGCACACACACATTTCACCAACAAGTGATATATATACGTTGTTATTCTTCCAATGGTTTCACTTTATAAGCAGTAACAAACAGTGGTATATGAGAGTAAACGTACAGCTTCCGTGTGTGGAGACGAATATGCAGTGATGTTGTGACAAAACAATCGTACACTGAGCTAAACTGATTTGAACAAACTACCAGCCGATCCAGAGCGACCAAAAGATTATCCGAGAATATACGAAGTTAAATGGGGGACACGGCTCAGGTGAAGGTCAGTCGCAGCTATACGACGTTAATGGTTACCCAAACCACACTGATCCATGAGACACACTCTCCTACCCAGAGTTCCATGCGGCAAGCCAGCATAGTACCTCTGCCACAGGCCAGAAAAATGTGACGATTCGTCACATCTTGCAATGTCCATTCAATATAATGTACAGATTTCTTTTACTCTTTTATTTTTGACGAGTCTACACATCTAACTAAACATCTTTAATAGAATGGTTTAGTTTCACTGAGAAAATATCTAAAAGCATGTAACACTATTTCGATTTGCGTAGCGATCCTTTGTTTACATAGGTTGTACGGCTCCACGTGCTGTCATCGAAGCCGACGGAGAGCAAACGATGCAGCCAGTTTGATATCTAAATATGTACTGTCATAGACCTAACTGTCGCAGTTGTGGAACAATAAATATGTAACAATGTAAAACATTATGAAGAGAGCGCCGAAAAGCTTTCGTGAGTCCAGTCTCTTCTTATTATGAATATGCGCGTTTGATTACAAACAAGAGAAAAGTCCGGTCACGTGATATGCAAATTAGCCTGTGACAGTGATGTTATGTTAAGTCATCGCTGTGCCGGAGTGTGACTGAGACAGTGGTTCATTCACAATGTTTGAACACCGACTGGAACTGTTGAGCCAAGTCTGGGTTAGACCAACAGACCAGCAAAACCGTATATAACTATCTATGGCAAGAGACCAGTACTTACAGGGGCTGTGTAAAATCCTTGGTTGTAGTATTTGCCGGTAGGGTTGGCAGCCCAGCACTGGTTGTACCAGAAGCCGCTGCCGTACACGAGGCCGCAGTTCTTGCTGTGGTTGTCGTTGTCGCGGTCCCAGGTGGAGAAGGGGACATTGTTCTGGGAGAATGTCGACCTGGAGAGAAGACAGAACTTTACTGGTCTGAACTAGTGCGAAGGGTTGGATGGACTTGCGATGTACGACTGCATTATAAATGATTGTTTTCAACTATTGGTTGAGATTCCACACCATAACCTGACCCGTAACAACGCCCACAGCTACGCACGCGCAATCCGCATTTTAAAAGAACCACGTTCTATGTAACCCGTCCCAACAACCAGCGGTAGAGAAATTTGACAATACAAAATTCTAAACCTAGGCATTATAAACAATTAAAGTGTCCAATGCAATTCCATATTTTGACAATTATATTTTTTGTCCGGTAAGCATGTGACTTGCCTTGTCGTTCCCTGCTATCATCAGTATGTCATAGTGATTCACAAACACGCAGACTTTGTAATGATTCTGGAAAGAGTCCCTTCCCAGCTAACATCACGTAACTGGGCCATTACCATTACTGGCCCAGTAAAGACAGAACATCAGGCCCATTTAAGGCATTCCGGTTTCTACTTTTTACAACAAGCTGATACCAAAACAAACTCTTAAAAAGAAAAACACACAAGAAAACACAAGTTTATGCATATGAGTTTAATTCATGAAATTAGATGAAAACATGATGTGTCATTCTTTCATTGATTCAGAGTTCCTTGTCCTTCTGGATGAGCTTGTTCAACAGAAGTTTCAAAATTTAAATTCACCTGATACAGTCTTTTTATAAAGTATTTTTCAAATTTTCATTTACCATTCAATCTTTCGATGTTTTGTCCAGTATGACATGATTTTCAAACAACACTATAATCTAGGCCATATGTTGAATTTATGTTTTTGTATGAGGCATGTCTACAGGTTTTCCGTTATCTAACAACATGACATACATACTGAATGTTTCAAAATGCTCATGTCCTAGCGAAATTCATACTGCATGTTATAGTTCTCTAGAAGTGATTCACAACAAATACCGTTACTTTATAGTGTCACATTAAGTTAATTTACATTCGGAAATGTGGAAAATATCACACTCAACCTTTTGGCCACATCTCTTGAGCAGAGGACAAAGTCCTGAAATAATCCCCCGCAATTCACCACACATGAAGTGCACTGCCTGTGCTGGGCCAGTACTGGGCCGGTACAGTATTGAGGTGCAGTATTTACGGTAACCACCCATATGTGGCCCAGTACAGTTTTGTTTGTAACGGGCCACTAACGGAAAACAGGCACTGGTCCAGTACTGGCTCTATACTGTCGTACATTATGCCAGTACCAACGGTACAGGCCAGAACGATGCCAGTACTGGCCCCTTTACGTGATGTTAGCTGGGTTCTTATACATTTGGACACCAACCGACTGAAGGAAGGTTCTACTCACGATGGGAAGTTGAAGGGATCTCCTGCATCACCAGTGTAGTTTCCTAGATGGATTGTGAAGGAGTCACTTTCGTTAGACAAGGAGAAGGCGTTGTATACAGCGTAGGCGCTGTTGCCGTCCCAGTCGTAGATGTCCACTCGCATCTCCATAGGCCCCTGCTTCAGGAAGGTCTCGATAAGCTCGTTGCCCCAATAGTAGTTACTTGATAGAATACCGAACCCGAACTTGTACTCGTTCCACGTCCGGTTGAAGCCCACGGTGTCGCTCACACGCCTGATGATGAATAAGGGTGAAACCCAACGTCGTGTTAGTGAGTGTGAGTATGGTTTTACACCATTTTCAGCAATATTCCAGCAATATCACAGCGGGGGACCTTCACTGTACCCTCGTGGGGAGTCGAACCCGGGTCTACGGCGTCTCGAACGAACGTTTTAACTAACGTCAACGTTGACCCGAGCGTCCCTAACGTCGCTTTAACTAGGAAGGGAAACCCCAAGGTGGTGAATGACGTTTACGTAAACTGCCTTGATGAACACTGCGAACATGGAATATGAAGTTTGCAAAAATCTTTTTGACTTTGACAAACGCTGTTCCTTTAAGTTACGGTTAACACGTCATCTTTCCCTTCGTACATAATGGTTCTTTAAAAAAGCTGCGTGAAAACACCAGTTTTCGATGACTTGACCTGCCTGTGCTTGTGTTTGTGACGGATCCTATCGTGGGGCAGGATATACTTACTTAACACCTAATATCATCACTATTTAACAGTGATTCCTAAACACGTGCAAATAATATACACAATGTAGTCGGAATCGTATAATTACCACTGTTTTCATGAAAGGTTTAATTTCGTATCATCACAGAAATTAATTAACAGACGGATGATATACCTGAGGAAGTTAGTCCAGCCCCCGTTGTCAGTGGTCATGTCGCAGTTGCCGAGGACCTCGCCCCCACCGGGAGCCTTCAAGGAGTACACGCCGTCATCGGTGATGTTCTGGTACTTGCGGAGGTCCCAGCAGTTGTTTTCTGGAGCTGAGGACACAGACACGTGGTGGGTGTAGACAGACACAGGTGAGTTAATGCTTAGAATATCGATTAACGGTTTTAACCGATTGGTACAAAACACTACCATCAGAAAAGGGAAGAGTAGCTTGACATTATTGTCTGACAGCTCCTCCTGTGGTGGGTAATAACAAATAATATGACACATGAACAGAACTGTGAACATATCAATAATTACGGGTCAATTCCTTGTAGAACATTTGACAAATTAACCACAAATAAAGAGAACATACCAACGCCTTCCCTGGTGAAATACAATATTCATACAATTAAACATTGCTGGGCAAATCGTATACAGTTTACACCTCTAACAGATTTGACATTTATAGAATTTCATAAACCGTCAGACCATAACAACATTTAGCCAAAATATTAAAATAATAAAATTTGACCTACAAAAATGTATCTTAATGCCGAAATGATATAACTATATGTAGCTGAACAAATGTATATTATGGTTAAAGAGACCTATCTACACGTCATCCTTGCTACCATCAGATGTTCCCAACACCCCGACAAGCATGGTTAACATGGGACCTGGTAAAACCAAACTCAGTCAGTCAGTCCAACCTACTCTGTTTATAAAGTAACTTCCTTGTATAAAGCCCGTCTTTGATACCATAATTAGGTGCGGTGGGCAGCCTACTGGTTAGAAGACCCGGGTTCGATTCCCCACACTGTTCAATATGTGATACTGCTGGAATATCACTAAAAGCGGCGTAAAACCATGCTTACTCACAAACAAGAAAAATGTTTCTTCTGGATATGTAATGTGAACACGGGACTGTAGACTACATTCTGTAGACAGAACAAAATCTGACAGTAAGAATATTTTCAACCTTATGAAGCCTAGGTTTTGTGCAGGAAGTTCTGGACCGTGAATGTTGGTGATGTGTTAAGTACTGCAGGTGTACTTACTCTCATCACAGAAGTGGCCGGTGATCTCAGGGTAGGTGCAGTTGCAACTGTAGCTGCCGTGTGTGTTGACACATACGCCGTACACGCAGGGGTTGGCCGCAAGACACTCATCGTAATCTGCATAAAAACAGAGAAGCGAACGGAAGTGTACAAAGAGCGTCAGGGCGCCTTGCTGTCTCTTACATGAAAACATTACGTGAGATTTAATCAGGTTGTTGGTCGGGTGAACTAACCAGTCTCCACAGATTAAAAATCAGCATTGTTTTCTTAAAGGTCACATGCAACCAAAACATCAAACATTATTAAAACATAATTAACACTTATTCATGACATATAATATACATTGCTGGTTATGAAAAAACATATAAAACAAAATTATAATCGTACAATCGCAAATCAAAAGTGCAATATTTTGTACTTGGGTTTACTTCCCAAGAAACGAAGCAGCCGGGATACCGAACTCAAGTGTAAAGGCTGGTTCATTTGCAGATGCCCTCACGGCTCATTTTGTGTGTATATATAGAGATGTTGGGTTTTGTAAATACATGCTCATTTTTTGTGTATAACATTTTGCAGTCATCAGACATCATAACATGTCATGTGTACAAGTATCACACCTGCCTGTCTGTGTAATTACATAACGTGACAGAGACCGAACTCGGGCCATAAATCAATGCGTTTTGTTTATGGTGTATAGCCTGATAGGTGTTAAGTTCAAATTGCATGTGGTCAGTGATCGAAGTTGTGTATTGAATATTGTCATTAGCAAACAGACACATAGGTGTCAATAAAACAGACATTGAGTTTTGTCTGTGACAACGACATATCTATATCACAGTTCGAAATTCTGTCAACGCTAAATAATGACATTGCCTTTAAGTATCTAACTGAGAAAGTGACTCGGTAAGAAGAACGTGTGGTGAAATAGACAAATGAAATTATATAAACAGTTAAATCGGTAATCTACTGTCATAACATATGAAAAGCTCGCGCCTGTGAAATATCAACAAAACATTAGAAAAATAGCTCACATCAAAGCCTTCACCGAGTATTCACCTCCAGCGAAGGTTTTCCGTCTTGAAATCTCGAACACCTTACTGGTTGACACATAGCTGAGTAGATCTAGATCCTGACAAGGTTCTTTTATGTAATGAATAGATTATTTACTATTTGTTTTGATTAGATTACTCCCGCTCACAACCTTATAATCCGGACATCCCGCTTCCAAGCTACGCGAACATATTTCACTGCGCATGTGCTATGAGCGCAGCCCAGCGTAGCGCAACCCAGCTGTTGAAACCACTTTTCACCCCAAGCGCTGGGTTTGTTTTTTTGAGTAGCCTAGTGGTTGAAACCTTCTCTCGTCACGCCGAAACCCCGGGTTCGATTCACGACATTGGTACAATGTGTGAAGCCCATATCTGATGTTCCACGCCGTGATATTACTGGAATATTGCTGAAAACCGGCATACAACATTGACAACCTGTATATTGGCCGAAATTATTTCCAGTGGCCAAGGCAGACACACAGTTCACAGCTACAAAGTGGTGATGTGATCTCACCTGCTTCACAGTTGACTCCGCTGAAGCCCGGTGGACATGCGCAGTAGTAACCATTGATGTCATCCAGACAGAAACCCCCGTTGACGCAGGGTCCAGAGAGACATTCGTTGATGTCTGCAGAGGAACGACTCGTTTGCTTTAAAAACAGTTTTGGTGGAAATGAAACGTCCACGCGTTGTGTCTTATGATACATATATAACATTTGATTAAATGGGTGCATTTATGGGCCTTTTATTTGAACAATTGTGACAATCAGAGTTGACTTGTTCAAGATAATGTGCTCAAAATGTCGTAGAATAACGACTTCATACTATTAACCGTCTTGACACAGTGAGTGAGTTCAAATTTTACATCACATCGGCATTATTTCAGCCATATCCTATCTGGACACAATGGACAGATCGGAGCACCAAGAACTGGAATATACGTGTAGGGTAGGAGCACATGTCTACTACAAGCAAAGAAACAAAATACCTGATGTGACATCCTCGTGGTTTGAAGCGCCAACGTTGTCAGTGTCCCACAGCTGTGTTGCACTCCGCTAATCATGGGTTCGAATCCCACTTCGCACTGATTCTGTTCAGTTGTCCGTTAATAATCGCGTGGTTGTGAGTAACCACGTTGCTGCCTTTACCTTTCAACCAGTAGTGAAATGAAAGACACTCTGTCTTAAAGCCTCACTCTTACTCAGTTCTACCCGTGAAGATCCGGATGGGAACTGATCTTTATCAACCCATTCCGAGATCGGGAAGTCAGACTCGCTGGCTTTGTTGATGCATGTCATTATAAGCGAACTGTGTAGGTTGATGCTCATGCTGTCAATCTCTGTCTATCTGGTCCAGACTCGACTGTGTCTGTGTTTATTGAACATCAAACTTACTTATTTCGCAGCTGGATCCTGAGAAGCCTGGTTCACAGACACATGTATAGCGGGCGACGAGATCGGTGCACGTGCCGCCATCACCGCAAGGGTTGCCCTCGCATTCGTTAATATCTGAAATAAAGAAGTGAAATGGTAATAGTGAGTTGGCGAGGATATTAGAGATCACATCTATTGTTCATTTAGCTCATGTTGTAAATCAAACAAATCAGTTACGTGACAACAGCTTTTGAGGTCAAAACATTTGGTGAAAAGTAAATATTTAAAACAATACTGCCACACTTGCTGTCAAGAATATTAATTCAAATTCGGTATTATTATTGTGAATTCTCACGTGTCACAATTTCTACTGACAACCTAAACACCGGGTTTTTCAAATATCCGGCTCCGATGAGTGAGGAGTTGGGTTTTACACCGCTTTTAGTAATATTCCATCAATATCACTGCGGGGGACACCAGAAATGGGCTTCACACATGGGGAATCGAACCCGGGTCTTCGGCGTGACGAGCCAACGCTTCAACCACTAGGTTACCCCACCGTTCCCCCAGCTCCGATGAACCTATACTAGCCCTTATCTACTGGCCAACGTATCTGACGACACCTGAGACTTTGAGATACTCTGTATTGTGGACATATTCAAACTATTAGTCCGTCATATCAGATCTGTTTTGCGAGATTCAATTCATCACACGTACTGATGCTGCAGTTGCGGCCGGTGTATCCGTTTTCACAGCTGCAGTGGAAGTCGCCGACCATGTCGGTGCAGTTGCCATGTTCACAAGGATGAGCATCACACTCGTCAATCTCTGAAAACAAGGGAAACCCATTAGCATTCAAACCACCTTAGAAATTAACGTTCTTGTTCGTGACAAAGCATATCACTGACGTTGGGTATCTGTGACAAATATATTCATCCAATTTCCAAAGTGTCGACCTCGATCCTCCGATTGAGCGACAGTATGTTTTTGTTTTGCCGAAGTGAAAACCTTCCAGATAAAACGAGATATTCAACTCTACAGAAGTTAAAGAACAACGATTTGCTTCTGCATGACTATATATATTTCATGACAGATTAACTATTGCGCCATTAAGAATGGTATGTTCCTTAATTCCTTTTGAATACTATGAAACAGGCGTTATAAACACAAGTTGTTGATAACATTTCTTTAATGACCCTTTGACGTATGCTTTTATTTGTATGGTAACTACTGAGGTAATATTTGTATGGTGCCTCATGTCTAGTTTTATAGTGCCAGCCCCACTGGGATGCCGAGATGACTTCATGCAGACCAAACACATTTTATCCCCATTACGCCGAGAGCAAGGCAGAGAACCAATATATACAATATTATAACATCTTTTGGTGTGACACCGCCAGGGTTCGACCCCCTACGTTTACAGGGCAGGTGTTTCATCATCTAGACTATTGAGGAGGTCATTTCGTCATGGAGTAAATAAATGATTGCAATAAAAATCAAATGTCGGTTACAAAACACGTCCACAGACAGGAGCTATCGCGACATGTACGTTGGAAACAAAGATGACGTATCAGTCGAAAATCGATACTGGATTACAAACGTAGATCATTCTGAGTACAAAAACTAGGCCGAGGAAAATGAACAAAGTAGAGACCAGTGAAACGAGAGCAGAAAAACTAACAAGGCGTCCTTGCAGAGATGTACTTCCTGATCCAACTGGTTTCCCATCACTAAGGACATTATGTAAATTATGATAGTATTAATTATTATTGATTTACGAATGGATCTTTTTCTGGTTTTATCGAATTCAAAAACCGTTTTTGCTGGAATTAATTTGCAGTTGTAAAAAGCACGACTCCATCCATTGTCTTGACTTTTTCAGAGAAATCGATCGATCGACTTGAAATAGATATATCCACCTGCAGTGCTTGTTAGGGCTTCAGTTTACAGAGACTATGGGTATTTCCTAAAAGAGGCGGTGGTTTAGGAGTTTAGAGAAATGTTTATAACTTTAGGGTTTACAGTTTAGAATATATTGTGAAAGACCAATAACTGAAGAGTTCCTGCTTGTACTATTGTGACTGTGGGAAGTAATGAAATGGGTTTTAAGATAATGAAAATATGGAATGACCAAGGGAATTTCTGGTTCTCTATTTGCCCATCTTAAAGATCATGGGAGGATAAACGGAAATAATGGAATTTTCGAACAAATATGTGCCCATAAAAACAGTTTTGTTAATATGAGCTAAAACGAGTGTCTGCATACACTGGATTCCAGAATAATGGCACGTGTTAATAATACTAATGATAATGAAGTGGTAGTGGTAGTGGTAGTGGTAGTGGTAGCGGTAGTGATAGTGGTAGTGGTAGAGGTAGTGGTAGCGGTAGTGGTAGTGGTAGTGGTAGTGGTAGTGGTAGTGGTAGTGGTAGTGGTAGTGGTAGTGGTAGTGGTAGTGGTAGTGGTAGTGGTAGTGGTAGTGGTAGTGGTAGTGGTAGTGGTAGTGGTAGTGGTAGTGGTAGTGGTAGTGGTAGTGGTAGTGGTAGTGGTAGTGGTAGTGGTAGTGGTAGAGGTAGTGGTAGTGGTAGCGGTAGTGGTAGTGGTAGTGGTAGTGGTAGTGGTAGTGGTAGTGGTAGTGGTAGTGGTAGTGGTAGTGGTAGTGGTAGTGGTAGTGATAGTGGTAGCAGGTAGTGGTGGTGTAGTGGTAGTGGTAGAGTGGTGGTGGTAGTGGTAGTGGTAGTGTGAGTGAGTTAAAATGTTACCTCACATCGACAATATTACAGCCATATTGTGACGACAGAAATTCATAAATTAAGTATAAATCTTAGAATGTTTCATAAAAGACTGTCATCGAAGGACAGTATAACTACTAGAATATCACATTTAGATTATTAAAACTAGTTTGAGAAAAACAACATATTAAGCTATTCATTTACAAACACAATATAAAAGTGGGCAAGAGATCGCTAGAAACTAAAGTGAGGCCACCATACTGTAGCGGCAGTGGGTAGTGGTAGTGGTAGTGGCAGTGAAGTAGGGTAGTGGTAGGCAGGTAGTGGTAGTGGTAGGTGGTAGTGGTAGTGGTAGTGGTAGTGGTAGTGGTAGTGGTAGTGGTAGTGGTAGTGGTAGTGGTAGCGGTAGTGGTAGTGGTAGTGGTAGTGGTAGTGGTAGTGGTAGAGGTAGTGGTAGTGGTAGCGGTAGTGGTAGTGGTAGTGGTAGTGGTAGGTAGTGGTGGTAGTGGTAGTGTGGTGAGTAGTGGTAGTGGTGGTAGTGATAGTGGTAGTGTGGTAGTGGTAGTGGTAGTAGTAGTGGTAGTGGTAGTGGTAGTGGTAGAGGTAGTGGTAGTGGTAGTGGTAGTGGTAGTGATAGTGGTAGTGGTGGTAGTGGTAGTGATAGCGGTAGTGGTAGTGGTAGAGGTAGTGGTAGTGGTAGTGGTAGCGGTAGTGATAGTGATAGTGGTAGTGGTAGTGGTAGTGAAAGTGGTAGTGATAGCGGTAGTGGTAGTGGTAGAGGTAGTGGTAGTGGTAGTGGTAGTACTAGTGAGTGAGTTTAAAATTTACGTCACTTAGGCAATATTTCAGACATATCGTGACGACAGAAATTCATAAATTAAGAATAAATATAAGAATACTTCATAAAAAGCTGTCATCGAAGGACTTCTGAAATATCACATAGATTGTTAAAACTAGTTTGAGAAAATTAAGCTATTCATTTACAAACACAATATAAAAGTGGGCTAGAGATCGCTAGCAACTGAAGTGAGGCCACCATACTAATGAGTGAGTGAGTTAATATTTAACGTCACATCGGCAATATCTCAGCCATATCGTGACGACCATACTAATGAAGTGGGTAGTTGTTGTAGTAGTAGTAGTAGTAGTAGTAACAACTGACATTGCAAATGCAGACGCTAAGGTAGACAGTGTTGTTGCCGTCCTTGCAGTTTGACGTTTATGCATATATACACACACTATTGACAAACTTCCTCAAACCCAACCTGGGGTACGTTGCTGTGATCACTCACCCCAGAACAGCGTGTTCCCGTGGTGTGGTCTTGGGCAGATTGTGCAGATACACTGTTGACTGGGCTCAGTATAACGCATTAAGCACTCTATAATTATTTCACAACTAATTCTCCATGAATAATCGGGGTTTGTTTTCTAACAGGTTCTCCCCTCGCAGCGCAAGAAGATGAAGTAATCATTCAGGGGTATAATTGTAATATCAAATCCTAACGTCATTGCCAGCAGGGTGTAATTGTGTAGAGAGATTCAGATAGCCGCTGAGTGGTTGCGTTTGTGCGGCATGTTTGTATGAAAATGCCTTGGAATCTGGGAAACGGCCTGAAAACTATGTCCTTGTAGAAATATGCAGTTGAGTATCTTGGATAAGCTTGGACGACAATTTCATCATATAGTTTCGAAACGTATTGTAGCATAATCTGACAAATTATATACATTTTCAAGGTTGATACCCTTTGCCTAAATGTGTTTTTTGGTGGAATTTAATTCAACTACCCACGAGATTATATATGCAAGGATGTACGAATCGTTTTACTCCATCTCGTAGATGACGTTTAAACCTTGGCCATGGTTTACGACCAGCTGTGTCATTCGTAACTACTCGCCTCTTTCCATGACAAGAGTAGTTACGAATGCAGCTGTGTGTTTTGATTATACAGTTAAAATTATTTTCATCTGGGATAATTTTGTATGAATACGGCTGTGGCAGGAAACCCTTTCGAGAACACCTGGTGTTAGCTGAGATTTTTAGTGGTCCATTGATATATTTTTCAGCGCGTTGCCTTTCTCGCCCAAAACTGATTATTCTCCGATTAAGGCGTTAACGTTCTTGTCTATAAAGAATTCAAACTGACCGATAACGTGTCAAATGATAAATAATACAAAACCAAATGTGTCTCTAGCGTCCGAATCGGATCATCTTCCTAGATCTACGTAACCTGTATTGTAAACTATGGACATAGAATAGATACAGTGCTGCAAACAGCTAAAAATCTGCATTTGAATATGATGTTATATTCACCATCGTCTTCAATACACAATCGACCACAATCTTAATAGATATTACCTTCACGTTATACACAGAAATTCTGCCGCGAACATGTTACTCGCACAATGTTGCCAAATTGGTAGCCAGCATTTCCTGTTTATGGGCACCTTTATGATCTCATCGCCTAAACGCAGCATCGATGAAGACACCGAGGCAGAAGCTGGTAATGCCATCATGTCTGTCGTCAAGACAACCAAACGTAACAGGGTAAACTAGGGCTATATCATACTTTGTGCATAATTAACACCTCACAACTAGTAAACACGGCAGATTGGTATTCATAGCTTCAATTATCCAGCTCATCTTTGAGGATTTTGCTTATCACACCATGAAATTGGTCCCGATATAGGACCGTCATGTCGGCCGATGGATTCACAGAGATATGATCGCCTGTTGTTTCCTATGTTAGAACATCATGTTGGACGATGCATTTATTGAGATATGCCCCATGTTTGTTTCCTGTATTATATATTTTCTGCAGTGTTGTTTTTTATGTTAAGCCATTTATATACTTATGTTCTCTTGTTTGTTCTTGTTAGACCATCCTGCTTTCACTTAGAAATGTCCCACGCCGTTCCTAATGTTAAACATCACGTCGACCCATGCTTTCATTTGGACATATCCCATGCTGTTTCCTATGTTAGACCATCATACTGTCATTTTCACATTTGTACAATATATACTTAATTAAGTTCAGTATATGATACACGATGTCGCGTTCACCCTGAGTATTTCACAATATTGTTTTCACTCTGTACCATGGACGGGTTGCCGATTAAGATGACTGCCGAGAGCTTCTTTCTGAAGTAATCTAAGAAGTCTGATCATTCTAAAAGTTAAATGCTTATATTTTAAGTCTGGTCTGGGGAAATCAGTGTTGGAAAGATGGGCAACGGTCCACGCCTTTGGAACACGATGACACCACAGTGTGCCACAGAGCCCGTCCTTCCGATCAATGCTAGTGCACTCTAACAACACTCACTGGCTCCTAGGGCTACTTCTTGCCGGGGTTCTTGAAGGTTGTTCTAGCACGGAATGTCACATCAAAGCTCACAGACGTAGAGTAAGAAACTGATAGGAACACCTCCACCAGTGAACCAATGACAGATTTGCCATGTTTTCCCGACTTGCAACCTTTGGAGAGATTCGCACAACCTACCATACTTGATTAGCGTGGGATATCAGCACCACAGCAAAACTACGATTGCTATGAAGGTTTCTACGGACACGAAACTTGTTCAACGTAACACTCCCAATTACTCCGTTTTTGTCACCACTGCCTGTCCACAACCCTGGGTCAGGCTAACAGTCACTCTAACTAGTGGTATGGACACGAAGGCACCCAACCCATTTGTCACACAAATAAGTGCCCCCACCCAATCCCCGAAAAATCAAAACAAGACCGAAAGATCCCTTTAAAATAAACAACACAAAAAAAAAGAAAAGAAAAAAAAGACACCAAAAGACAACCAAACCGAAACAACACAACATACCAGTGTTACGTAGGTTAGGTAGATATAACGTATTTTGTTTCCTGAAGTTTATCTCACCGCACTGCTCTTGAGACAAAATGGATCTCTTGGGCATAAACATGTCGACGGCCTTTGTTTCTAAGCGTCGTTCAGACTTCCTGTTCTGAATAAAAACAGCATCCATACCTGTTTCACAGTTGTGTCCAGTGTAGCCCGTCCGGCAGACGCAGATGTAGCGGTCGTTGAGGTTCTGGCAGATGGCGCTGTTCTTGCATGGGGCGGATGCACAATAGTCTGCGGAAGGCAGCAGATTAGAAGAATCAATCATTGAATAATGGGCATTTGCTAGTCTACATTGTTTCAAATATACTTTGTTACCTATGTTAGTGATGTCTTCTCATACAGATGTGACGAGGTGAAGGTCAAGATGTATTTACATGATTATACAACATTTACATTGGCGTCACCCATCAGTTGGTACACATTTAGCTGCCTCTTACAATCAGCAATGCAGCGTTAAGAACCTATTATACTCTGCGTTAGGTGCTTCGTAACCTGGACGAAACACATGTTCAAGTAGGCTTCATTGTGCTGTGCATGATAGAATTGATGGTGAATTCAATATGTCAACACAAGTGCATGACTAATGTCACCACAACGCTTGTCTTGAGCTCTGGATAACTAGAAGTGAGATGAAATTGATATACCCCGGCGTTCATTATTATTCAACTCGGCAAGTAAACGTATGTGGCTGCTTGTGCTAGTTTTCTGTTTTTAATGGGCTATCCCAGACAAGTACACCGGAGATAACATGGCTTGCCCACTCAGACACATTATAGCGCAGCCGGGGATCGAACCATCAACCTCCGCAATCCGGAGTATACCAGTAAGGCAGCCACGAAAAACTAGACAGGTTTTCAACGATTTCTAATAAGATGAAGTTTTCATGTTTTACTGTTATACACAATGTCTTAGCCTTTAGGTCAGACATTTTAACGTGCACTCTTTTCCCTAAGTTTTATAATGGATTATAGAAGAAGCTTTAGAGTCTCAACGTAGTGGATCGACAATGCCAATTGACGTCTGTTACAAAATCATATGATCAATATATTGAATGGCATTACAATCTTTCTTAATACTCAAACCATTTGCACTTAGGAATCTGGTAATCTATTTCCGGTAACCTTCAACTAGAGACGGACAGCACTAACGTCACACCAACGTTACCTAAAACTCTAGACTCGAAGTCTTGACCGAATACTATTTGGCCTTGGCCTTAGAATAAACTTTAATGGCCTTCCGCAACATCATCTTCTTAGTACTTGACCCTGATCTCTGACTCATGTTTGTAGAGCTGAGTGCTAAGATATCGGAGTTTGGTATGTGTAACATGACTTTCTCTTGGTCACCGTTCTTAAATATTGTCATTGTCAAGAGAAGTGAAAGAATGAATTTTATTTCAGTTTCATTACGTTCTTTCAGAGTGTAATGAGAGAAAGCCCGAAGTGACATTTGTGAAATCCACGAGGTACATTGCTAACCAGCGTAGAAAGGTCAGCAGGGGACCCGAGAGTAGAACCAAAGGTCATCAGGGCAACCGGGAGTAGAACCAAAGGTCATCAGGGCAACCGGGAGTAGAACCAAAGGTCATCAGGGCGGAAGTAGAACCAAAGGTCATCAGGGCAACCGGGAGTAGAACCAAAGGTCATCAGGGCAACCGGGAGTAGAACCAAAGGTCATCAGGGCAACCGGGAGTAGAACCAAAGGTCATCAGGGCAACCGGGAGTAGAACCAAAGGTCATCAGGGCAACCGGGAGTAGAACCAAAGGTCATCAGGGCAACCGGGAGTAGAACCAAAGGTCATCAGGGCGGAAGTAGTACCAAAGGTCATCAGGGCAACCCGGGCAACCCGGGAGTAGAACCCAGTATCGACGGTTTATGGCACGCCAAAATTTACACAACGACTAAGCCACCCATGCCTGCCCAAGGAAAGATATTATGCCCATTGCGTGGGCACCCAGAGCGGTGATCTCTGGCCCAGGGACCCAGAGAGAGAAAATATTTATTCTTCCCGGTTGAATTCTGACGGGTACACGTGCACGGGTAAGTTAAAGATGTACTGGAGTCAGAACTCGCGTATCCGACCAAGGGAGGAGACCCACATACTTTACATACGGCAAACACGGACGCGATAAGGTACATCTTCGGAACGTGTTTTGACATACTGGTTACCTGGTCGGCTTTTATGACTCTAATAATAAATTTGCAACCAGTAAAAGTAGATGAATTGATCAATAGCTTTAATTACACGCAGTGTCATCCGTTTTGTAAAGACTTCAGTGAAACAATATGTCATCGTAACGGGACACATTTTTTTTCAGCAATATTATATTTGTCGTTGGAAGCTATCACCAAGCGATGCAACTAGAATTTTGTGTATATCGTGCCATGCAACTTCATCTCAACTTGGCTCTATGGTATTTCAAGACTTTCTTGATTCTTCTTCCATGCTTCATAAATAGCAACCATTAATCCAAAAACATTACGTCATCAGCCGGAGGCATCCATTCAAGTACATTACGTCATCAATCGGGGACATTCATCCAAGTACATGACGTCATCAGTCGGATACATTCATTCAAGTACATGACGTCATCAGTCGGAGTCATTCATTCAAATACATGACGCCATCATTAGGGTGAGGGATTACGTGATTTTTCGGAGTGACACAAGTACATTACGTCATTATTCGGAGACATTCATTCAAGTACATTACGTCATTATTCGGAGATATTCATTCAAATACATTACGTCATCATTCGGAAACATTAATTCAATAGAGATTATTACACGAGCAAGTGTGTCATACGACTTATACGAAACGAGTGTGAAATTTTGCAGTGCCCGAGCGAGAGCGAGGGCAATACACAATTTTGCACGAGTTTCGTATAAGTCGTGTGGCACACTTGCGAGTGTAATAATTTCTTTATTATCCATTTTATTCATGAACATTTGTGCAGTAAAATACGGCAAGCAAGTGTGACTGCCCTGTTCATTGACGTCATGTTCAATTGTTTAAGTGACGTCACAGACGACGAAATAGAGAAACAATGGTTGCTAGGCAAAAGTGATATGTGCACATATGCACATATGATATATATGACTCTGGTCATGTTTCACCATATGTATAATAAAGTACATTCCGTCATCATTCGGGGGAGACAAGAACATTACGTCATTACTCGGAGACATTCATTCAAATACATCTACGTCATCAGTCGGAAACATTCATTCAAGTACATTACGTCATCATTCGGGGAGACAAGAACATTACGTCATTACTCGGAGAAATTCAGTCAAATACATTACGTCATCATTTGGAGACATTAATTCAAGTACATTACGTCATCATTAGGGGGAGACAAGTACATTACGTCACTACTCGGGGACATGCATTGAAATACATTACGTCATCAGTAGGAAACATTAATTCTAGTACATTACGTCATCTTTCGGAGACATTAATTCAAGTACATTACGACATTCATTCAAGTGTCACTTTCAGATAAGGGTACGATGTATATTCATCCAAGTGCAATAATTTATAATTATGAGACATCCATCCAAGTGCAATACGTCATCATGCACAGCTACGGAGTTTCAGATAGGGATACCGTGGCTCTGTTCTGAAAGCCTTTCCCAAGATGGGATGATCAACCCAGGAAACAACTGTGGGTGTTCAACCACCAGTGACCACCCACCTCCCCCAATTACGATCTTGCCAGCCAGGCTGCTGTTCAGGTTCTCCAGGTCTGTCTGTAGATTAATGTTCTCCTTCTGTAGCGTGGCAGTCTCACCGACCAACACCTGGACCAGGTTCTCCAGTCTTTGGTTATTGTCCTTTAAATCCTTCAGCTCGTCTATAATGTTCATGGCCGAGTCCGTATCGTTACCGCCAAAATACGACAGCAGCTGAAGAATCTGATGGTCATGGCGTTCAAGATGAGACACAATGGCGGACGCCGTTCTGTTGTCCACGACGCCGGGGTTTTCCAGAGCTTCGTGAGAAGGAATCTGTAACGTGTAGGTGCACTTCCCATCTGGGTCGCAATGTCCCTCGAACTGATGGATTGTGTAATCGAAGGGCCCTTCCCCGTGGACGACATGCACGACCAACAATCCCAGCAGCGTTGCCCACCACATCGTACCTGCAGGAGAGTCTGTTACCGAAAGACCCACTACAGCCAAATCTGGCGACAAAGTAAGCTCCACGTGGTTCGAGATAAAGAAGTACCGATATGAACTTTTTACCGGGACGGGGCGATGGTGTGGGAATACTTCATAGAGCTTTCTCGAAGCATTTTAACTACTCTGTTTCTACCTCTACCCAATGCAATGTTACCCAAAGTAACAGCATATGTGTAACAGCTCCTATCATGGCATGAGCGGTCGCTGTTTTTGAAAATGTGGTATTTTATGTATAAGACCATTCATCACTTTGCGCTTAAAAAACCCACGAGCTGTCATGTTATGTAGTTGCTGGTTATCTAAGGTATTCCTGTGAAAGTTACATGTGTACCTTATCTCTACGTATTTTTACATGATCTTACTTCAGATAAAAACTAAGCGTAACTGAGGATAGGAATTACTGATTGATATTATTTGACTCCGACAATTTCTTTCGCATGCATCTTTTATTATTTTGATAGAGACAGGATCATTTTGTTTACTTTTACAACATGCATACTGTTGGTTACGGAACTTAAGAACATTGCTGGTGCAGTTGGTAACGCCACCCGACATCATTACAGGTGTAGTTGGTTACGGAGCTTAAGACCATTGCTGGTGCAGTTGGTAACGCAACCCGACATCATTACAGGTGTAGTTGGTTACGGGACTTGACAACATGACAACATCATGAGAGAAGCTGGCAACTTTACATGACAACATCATGAGTGTTGCTGGCAAGTTTACATGACAGCATCATGAGTGTAGCTGGCAACTTTACATGACAACATCATGAGTGTAGCTGGCAACTTTACATGGCAACATCATGAGTGTAGCTGGCAACTTTACATCACAGCATCATGAGTGTACCTGGCAACTTTACATGACAACATCATGAGAGAAGCTGGCCACTTTACATGACAACATCATGAGTGTAGCTGGCTACTTCACATGACAACATCATGAGAGAAGCTGGCAACTTTACATGACAGCATCATGAGCGTACCTGGCCACTTCACATGACAACATCATGAGTGTAGCTGGCAACTTTACATGACAGCATCATGAGTGCAGCTGGCCGCTTCACATGACAACATCATGAGTGTAGCTGGCAACTTTACATGACAACATCATGAGAGAAGCTGGCAACTTTACATGACAGCATCATGAGGGCAGCTGGCCACTTTACATGACAACATCATGGGCGTACCTGGCAACTTTACATGACAACATCATGGGTTGCTGGCAACTTTACATGACAACATCATGAGTGTAGCTGGCAACTTTACATGACAACATCATGAGTTGCTGGCAACTTGACATGGCAACATCATGAGTTGCTGGCAACTTTACATGACAACATCATGACTTGCTGGCAACTTTACATGACAACATCATGAGTTGCTGGCAACTTTACATGACAACATCATGAGTGTAGCTGGCAACTGTACATTGCAACATCATGAGTGTAGCTGGCAACTTTACATGGCAACATCATGAGGGTTGCTGGCAACTTTACATGGCAACATCTGTGGTGCACTTGACAACCTCTGTGTTACAGTTGGTTGAAACTCTCAGCAACATCATGGAAATAGTTCTAATGTAATGGATTAATTATCAGAATGTTATGCTGGATATTGAGAGGATGTTGTCACTGTCATTCTACAGTTACAATGAGAATTAAAGACCGACGGTATGAATCATGAAAGCACAATACTTCGAAGTCTAATTCTACCATCGTGGCATTCGAACTGTACCCAAAAGGAAACAATGGTCAAAATAGGTCCAGAGAATCTGGTATCATGACAAAATGGAGATATGTGGACTGTTAAGCAGTTGAATTCTTTAAGAAATACTTCAACAAACAGTTCATGCCTGTTTACTGATTGAAACTCAAAGTTACACCTTACTTACCACGAAATAATTTCAATGGCACTATTTACTACAACAGGTGCTTATTTGACTATCAAACCCCAAACATTTGACATCGTGATTTGGCACGGTTCGAGACGACCAACGGTAGCGTGGCTGGTCTCTATCAAAGCATAGCGAACACGTTGTACGTTCAATGACAGAGGTCACTGCTACTGTCAGTTACGATTATTCGATTGTTTGGTTGCCCCTGTTCTTCTTTATGGGTGTGAATTATTGAGTTTTGGTAATACCTTTTGGGTAGAAAATATTATTTTAAAATTTCTATTGGAACTCCTCTCATTAAGAATAAAACCACCACTCATGATGGGGAACTGGTGGGATAACCACCTGAAACTTGAATTAAGTCACGAATCTTACTCTTTTGGGGAAACTCATTCCAGGAAAGGCTTCTAAAGTTTCTCTCTTAATTTACAAATTACTCCACAATGATACAACTTGTTACACATCTGGTTATGAAAGGATTGCCTGCATTAAGGGAACTTTTGACAAAATTGGAATGAGTTATATTTGGGCTACACAGGCTTTTCCTAATGAAAGTAGTCTTAAAACACTTGAAAACAGACTGAAAGAAATTAATGCACAGACTCAATTCTGAATTGAAATACGAAACCAATCTGAATTTATTACATTATACTAATCGGAGGGCGTTACGTAATTTCAGAACCACAAGCCATTACCTTCCAGTTGAAATAGCATGAAGGATTAAACACCCCCAAATGAAAGATTATGTACCTTTTGTAATTCAAAAGATACTGAAGATGAATTTCACTTTTTCCTAATTTCCCCGTCCTTGTTCCAAGAAAGGACAAAGATGTTTTCAAAAACTAATTCTGTAGATACCCGAATATGCACAAAATGAACCAGCTGTCTCACATAAAAACAAACTAGGGACAATTAGGAAATTATCAATAATTTGCAAAATGATAATGTCTCATTTTAAGCAAACCCCCCCCCCCACAAAGAAAAAAAAAGAAAACCGAAAAAATCAGAAAATATAAAAACAGTGAAAAATATGATATGCATGTACAACCAAGCGATATGTATATAACATAAATAAGTCTAATGTCGCAAAACGCTGCGGGAGTGTTAATAAAGTTCACTACAAGCCCTTGAGCATGCTTGCACGTGATACAAGAGGTGCGTTCGCCCGAAATTTTTCAACGGTTGTGGATGGTTCGAACCTTCTCTCCAGGTACACATGCTTGCTCGTGTTCCTGTTTCTGTGTAAGGAATTCTTGTGAAGGAATGCCTAAAATGATTATTAAGGAAAAAACAGACCCCTGCCTATGACAAAAACACTGTCAGATATCTATATATATCCGTCTAGTTCCATCATCCTGTAGGGACAGATAACAATATTACAAATAATCGTGTTTGTGCTGCAAAATATCTCCTAGAAACCTAACCAGAAAAATAGCATCCCATTACTACCGTAACAAAGTTTATGCTCAAATATATCCCGACCGGGTTCTCTATGTAAAGCCTTCTTTATACCACAGCTGTCGATAATTGAGGTCATATGATACGCACCTGGCCCTTTGAAGTAAAAGATGCGGGTCTAATTGAAAATACATTACATCTCACAATGTCTATTATATTTCCTAAATCCAGTCCCCGTAATAGGTTATCAAAGGAACGTATAATGCACTAGGTATTATATTAGTTCCAAAGAGTAACTGATTTCTTTAATGGTATCGGTTTGACAGGCTCCATGCGAATCCTGTTACACTCGTCTATGAAGTGGACCTTCAAACAACGTAATTATTTTATGTGTGATTATATTAAATATGTTTTAAGCACGACATAATGTACCGCTAATTTGATCCTTAGGGTTAAACTCATTCAATGAGCACCCCGCATATTCATGCGTCATTGCCCTGCTTGACATCGATGTGATTTGAATGTAGGCCCTACAGCAAAGGATCCTTTAAATTTTAGAAGATTTGTTAATGTAAAGTAAAAAACCGAACTTGATTTGAACGTGAAATTACGCATTTTTCTGATAAAGCTGTCCGACAAGGAAGAATTAATAGTGACGATAGCTGCCGTTCCTGCGATTAATTACCTCACAAAGTGTAGGAACACGTTGAGGTTTTGTTATTCATCATGACTCGCATGTCTCCTTTTATGATAGGGCCATAGATTGTATAAAAGGTATGATACATTATGGACGACAACTTCTTTATTATATTATGATGCGACGGTCGGTATAGATTCTTAAACCTTTGTCAAGCAAGAGTGATGTAATACATCACACAACCGACTTATATACATGTAACAGGGATTAAGTAAGACAACGTCATAATATAATGAAGACGTTGGTACCCATAAATAATCATGCCTTTCTCATTATTTATCAACTTCTAAAATTCCGATAAAACAGGTCATATATCAGCATGGAAATATTTTACAATATAGAAGAAGAAATGAAGAAGAAGAAGAAGAAGAAAAAGAAGAAGAAGACGAAAACAATAATTTATTATTGTGTCACATGCTAATATACGGTACATAATGACACAATCAAAACATTCGCATAACATCCGGTCATTTGGCCCATGAGACACATATACTCTCCCAAAAAAAGAAACGCATCATGAAAATAGCAATTTCAAGTAGCAATGAACTAAAACGTGATTCATTTTACAAAAGGTTTTGCTCTGTTTATGAGTCCTATGGTGTTTATGTTTTGAAACATCACAAAAAAACGCACCATCCGTAAAATACCCGTATTTAACAGCATGATTTTCAATTGCGGCGTGTAGTGTCACAGAATACACAATTCACATGCAATTGGGGATCAGATAGTCTCAATGATGGGTATAAAAGGTTGATCGCTGTCTGGCGATTATTCACTGTATTTGGAATATTGTTGGCGAACGCAAAATGCCACGTCTAAGTGAAGCCAACCGTCATATCGCCATTGGTTTGCTTGAATCTGGCCAGTCTCAACGTGCAGTTGCCCGACGCATGAATGTTCACCAAAGCACAATTTCACGGCTCTGGGAGAGATATCGCCGTCAGAATGCGATAGCAGATGCCCC